AGTAGCCAGGACCTGCCTGTGACCTTCATTCAGCCCCAGCACCAGCTGTACCCTGAGATTGGTCAAGCAGGCCTCCCATGTGACCAGAGATGACCAGTGTGCAGGCTGGTTTAATTCCATGTGAACCAGCCACAGGAATCAGGGGGCTGCCACAAGCCCTTGCCTGGTTGATATTTTTCATTTCCTTTTTTTGATTTTGATTGGGTTTGAACTCAGAGAATTGAGATTACTAGGTAGGTGTTCTACCACTTGAGCCACACTCCCATCCTTTTTTTTGCTTTACTTTTAAGATAGGGCCTCATGACCCTCCTGCCTATGCCTCCCAGTAGCTGGGATTATAGGTATAAACCACCATACCTTGCTTTTTTTTTTTTTTTTCCTTTTGGTCAGTTGTGGGGCTTGAATTCTGGGCTTGGGAGCTGTCCCTCAGCTCTTCAGCTCAAGGCTACCACTTGAGCCACAGTACCACTTCCTGTTTTCTGGTGGTTAATTGAAGATAAGAGTCTCACAGACTTTCCTGCCTGGGCTGGCTTTGAACTGTGGTCCTCCTGAATAGCTAGGATTACAGGCGTGAGCCACCAGTTCCCAGCTCAGGACGTTCTTTTAATCCAACCTAGTGGCTTTCTATCAAAAAGGGTGGGCTGCAGGGTTCCTGAGTACACTTGCTTGAGTGTGAACATGGTGTTAAGCTCGGTGGTGGGTCAGGATGTGTGAGGCAAGCACATGTGTGTGGGTCTGTTGGTGCCTGATAATGCTCAGAATGCACCTCGTGGTCGTGTGATTTGAACATATTGGTATCTCTAAGATTCTTGGAAGCTCTTGGGCTGTGAGATGCAGGAGCTGAGAAAGACAGTGCTGGTCACAGGGGGACCGTGGTCTTGCCAATTGCTGAAGAGACAAGGAGTAAGGCCCTGACCCCACTGTGGCCTGGAATGTTGGACAGGTGCAGGCTTCTTGGGGGACAAGAAGAGGAGGGCCAGACCTGGGGTAGAGGCACTCCCGCTATGGATCTCCTCCTCTGGATGGGGTGGGACTGGTTGCCCAGCCTCAGTAGTGATCTCTGTCCCCCTGCCACTTAGTAGGCAGGGGCTGAGTGCTGGAATGTGGCCTGGCCATCAGGACATCTCCAGCCACTCCTCATCCAGTGTTCCCATGGCTATCTCAGGGCAGCATGCAGGTAGGCCAACATCTCTCAGCCTTGATGATGTTGGCTTTGATCTCAAACTTGTAATAGCTGGCTTGGCCTGGGGGATTGGGGCTCTGGAAGCTGAGGTCAGGCTCTCCCAGCCGCCTGTGCCCAGGCCAGGGTGGTGGGGACAGGCCCTCCTACTGACCGACTGACTGGGTCCACATTCTCAGGTCCCCTCTCCATTCACACTGCATATCCTTGAGAGCCACTCTCAGGGCCTGGGCCCCACCTCTGCTGCTGGCAGGTGGTCCCTGGGAATGAGGTCTGTGGTATCACTAGTGGCCTCCCAGGGCTTCCAGAGGGCAATGGGGACGTCCTTGAGCATCCGTCATGCACCAGGCACATGTACCCTCTGCATATGATTTTGTGATCAGTCCAGAGCATTCCCTTGAGACCCCGAACTGTCATTGTTCCTCTCATCCAGATGATGCCGGTGGAGGGAGGGGATGGGAGAACAGTTCCAGGCCACATGGCAGGTGAAGACTCAGAACTGAAGCAGCTCCAGGTGGGCTCTGGTCTTTGGTGACCATGTTTGGGGCTACTTTCACTCAGCTTCCTCCTGGTTCCCATAGTTCCAGAGACCCAGAAACATGCTTGGGGGCTAGCAGAAGGCAGCCCCTCCTTTCCAGTGGGCCTCCTGTCTCTTTCCTGCTCCTCCTCTGCTCCACCCAGACTCCTCCCTTGACAGCCTGCAGCTGGGTGCCACCCACATTCCTCCTGTCCCCTGCTCACTGGCTCCTCTCACTCGCCACCCCCATCCCTCTCTGCTTTGAGTCACCCCTGCCAGGGAGCAAGGAGGTGGCATAGGATGGAGGATGGTGCCCATGGCCTGGGGTAGGCATGGAAACCTCTACCAACATCACCTGTACCTCCCTCCCACCAGGACCCTCTTGGCTTCAGAGAAAGAAAGAGGAAATGATGGAGTGAGTAGCAGGGATTTACTAAAAAATGTCACCTCAGTTCGTCTTTTGGAGCCTGATGCCATGGCCACCAGGTACCATCCCCATTGGACATGAGAATTCCTGGGTATTGCAAGGTGGCCGCCACTCCTGCCCCCTCCCAGCCCCCTATTCCTGGCCTCTCAGGACATCCTTAGAATTAAACAGATTATCACCTGAAATGTGTGCAGAACAGATGGTGCCTGTCGTATGGCGATGCTCCAGAAGGATGGGTCACATGCTGTGTGGCACCTTGGGGCAGCTCCTGCCTGCGCCTGTCACCTTTAAGAAAGTGGCAGATAGGAGAAGCCCACTGCCCTCGCTGAGCCCTGCAAGCATCACACCAAAGCCTCCCACGCCTGTGGTTCAGCACTGGCCATTCCCTGGGACCCATGGTTCTGTGCATCAGTGATAACTTGAGCTTTAGTTTGTGTGATGTCCTGGTGGGTATAACCAAGTGCTGCCCTGCCTGTGACACCAGGAGTGCTTTGCTTTGCTCCAGCCTCAGCAAGTGTATGACCCAGGCTGTCTGTATGACACAGACTGTCTGTTTTTCAGACTACTGTGGGGAGAGGGAAAAGGAGAGCCTTGTCATCAGGCCTTTGACTGCTTCCCTCATGCCAACATTGGGGTATCTCACCTTCCTCTATAAGCACTGGCTTTGCTAGCCCCCCTCCACAGTGGTATCTGAAGGAGTAAGCAGGGTTCCTGAGTTGGGGGGGAGGCTGTGGGCACCAGCAATCACTGGCCCCTAGCCCCCAGAGGAGCAGAGGACACAGACCAAGGTCCCCTCACAGAGCCCATGAGCCTGGAGGAAAGACCTTGGCTTTGAGGCCCAGTGAGCACCTGCTCTGTATGGTGTGTGGGAGTGCCTTTGGTGGGAGCTACTGACACCCTGCCATGAGTCAGTGTGTGGGTGTGCAGGGCTCGGCTGGGGCTACTTCCCTTCCCCATTGCTTGGTGGCCCCAAGCCTTTCAGGTGTGCCAGCGTTGGGTCCCACACACTCTGCTGACCTTGAAGCACCTGGCAGAGCAGACAGCTGAGCAGGCCAGGACTCCATACTTGAGATGGGGGCGGTGTCACCTAGAAAAGCTCCAGGGCCTCGGCATTCCTGAGGGTGGATCTCAGGAGGTAGCGCTTTTCATTAGAATTCAGGCAGGCGGGTAGATAATTGTAGGCTCCAGTTTAGTTTGATCTTTGAGTAAAATTGTGGGGCTTTTTTTGGTATTTTTGTTTTTTTTAATCTATGCTTTTATGGGGATATAAATGAGTGCTGTATTGTATCTGTGGGGTATTTTCTCTGGTAGGAGCATTAAATAGCGCATCTTTTGCTGGAATTTCTCTAGGTCAGCCTCCTCAGGAAGCAGGTGTGTGTGTGTGTGTGTGTGTGTGTGTGTGTGTGTGTGTGTGTGTGTGTGTGTTTCACCATCAAAGAGAGGGTAGACATTTAGTCTTGCAAGGCCCACCCTGTGCCACAGTAGGAGATGCTTGGGTGCCTTTGGGAACAAGAGCTGGAGTGCATTTTGCATTTGAAGGAGAGGGAGGCAGGACTTCTGGTCATTCCACCTAAGCTTCTGCTGTCCCTCCATCCAGGTGCCAGGCACCAATACTTCCACAAAAGCATCAGGTGCTGGTGAAGAAACAGATGGGAGCTGGGTGCGCAAGGCAGGAAGTTTGAGGGCCTGTCCAGTGGGAAGAGGGAGAGGCCGCTGGATGAGCTCCAGGGAACATGTATGTCTGCAGGCATATATGGAAGAGCATTTGCATATGTGTCCCACAACCCTATATCATATAACACCCATCTCAGGACAGATGACTCCTGAGATGGCTTGGCCAGGCCTTCCTGCAGATGGACAGGGACCAGACTTCAGCCTGGCTTGGACACCTTCTAGGCATCCTTTGTAAACTGGCACCTGCTGAGAGGGCTGAGGAGTTTCCTTGGTGAGGAAGGTGCCCCCCCTCCCCATGGACTTGATTGGCAGATTAATTATGTGCTTGCCTTCTGGCAGGCATGGAGGCAATGGACACTAGTGCGTCTGCAGGAGGCAGGCGCTGTCCTTGGTGCTGAAAATCCTCTTGCCTTTCTCTTGGCTCTGTTGTGCTGCAGTGGGAGGCTGAGTGTTCAAGGCTACACTGGGAGTGGGAAGGGGCAGCCTGGGAACTCTGACCCCTTGCTACACCACATTCTGTCATGTGACTAGACCCCATGGATCTCTCTCCTTCTGTCACAAGTGGGCTTCTGCTTTTTTGGCTTTCACAATCTCCATTAGCTTTTTAAAAGCCTCTTTGGCACCTTTGTTTGAAATATAAAACTTATGACTAAATAAATGAATCCATTTTTGGAACCCCCATGGAGAAAGTTCCTGGGAACTGGGGATCCCAGTGTCTGCTGGCTGGGGCCTCTACAACTCCTCTGTCCAGGGCCACTCTAAGACCTGTGCCATTGAGAGTGGTATAAGCAGGTAAGCAGATGTGTTGTTCTGCAGAACCCACCATTGCCACAGAAGAATGACTTTGACTCCAAGAGAAAGCTTCAAAGAGTATGGAATCAAGGCAAATAAGTGAAGGAGTAAATCTGCAGCACTGTCTATTCTTTCAATCAAGCAGGGAAACTTTCAGCCTAGAGTTAATCTACCCACTGCCTCCCATAGGTGTCCCTGCCCCAGGTGCTACCACTTGTGGCTCAGAGGTGCCCATACCCAGCAGGTGAAGTCAGCCTGAAGGGTGCCCCAGGGCCAGGCCATGGGTGGGCATGTCCTTTGGCTTGGGGTTGGTGACTGCTGCACACCCTTGTGGAGCTATCTTGCCATGGCTGCTGTGAATCCTCAGCTATTGGGGCACAAGGTGATGCCTTGTCCTTTTCTGTCCCCAGATCACCAGAAGCTGGAGAGAGAAGCTCGGATCTGTCGCCTGCTGAAGCATTCCAACATTGGTGAGTGGCCCCAAGGTGGTGTGTCTGAGATTCACTGGCTGAACACCTGGCAAGAGTGCCCAGAAGCCTGGGCTGGCCCCATCTCTAGCATCAGGGAGTCTGGTCCTATCAAGAAGGGGAGGGCATTTGGCAAGTGAACCACCTGTCAGCCCTGCCTGCCTGTGTCTGGGTTAGATGGGAGCCAAGATTTTCATGGGGCATTGATCCCCAGAAAACCCAGCTGCTCTACATGCCAGCTCCTTCCTGGAGCCTCAGAGGGGTCCTGAGCTGGGTCATACATGCAGTTCCAGTCCCTGCAGAGACCCAGGGGTGCAGACCCTGGGCAGTCGGCTCAGATCTCCTAGGTCACTGGGTTCTGCTCATGCTTTGCCTTCCTGCTACACATGTGCACATGTGCACGTGCACAAGCACACACACATCTGTATCCAACTCTGGCCCTCTGAGGGCATCTGGAAAGGGGTAGAGCCTCAGTGCCCCCTCTCCCTTAAAATTAGAGTTGCTCTGCCTCCTCCAAGGGACCTGGTAGGAGGAGCCAAGATGACTCATAGGGGCAGGGGCACTGGTATGAACTGTAGAGACCCTCTTTTCTGATACAGCCTGCTTGTGTAAACCAAGACCTTGATGGAAGCCCACCACACGCTCCTGGGCAGACTTCCCATTTGTGACATCATGTAAATGATGCTTACTTCATACAGTTGATTCATGTGTATGTTGGTGATCTGCACCACGGAGCAAATGACTCCAAAGCCCTTACCACTTAACACAGGTGCAGTGGAGAGCCATTCGGCCAGCTTGGCAGGCCTCCATATACCTATGGGGGAGCTAGTGAAAACACATGTGTGGGGCTTTTGTCCAAAAAATATTGAGGCCTACGCCAGGCATAGATGACTAATTTCTATAGTCTTAGCTACCCAGGAGGCTGAGATCTGAGATTCATGGTTTAAAGCTAGCTTGGGCAGGAAAGTCTAGGAGACTCTTTTCCCTAATTAATTACCAAGATAGCTGGAAATGGAGCCATGGCTCAAGTGCAAGAGCATTAGATTTGAGCACAAAATCTCAGCAACAACACTCAGCCTGTGAGTTCAAACATCAGGACCAACACACACACACACACACACACACACACACACACACACACAATTACTGAAGCCAAGGCTGGTGACTCATGATTGTGATCCCAGCTACATCTAGTAGTTATTCCTTTGTCCCCTGGAACCTCTTTGCCCATGAAAAGCTTTCCCTGCTCAGTCAGGGAAAGAGGAAGCCTAGTAGCAGGGACCCCAGGATGGAACAGAATGAGGGACCCTGTCCTCCCCCTCCCATGGAAGACTGAAAGCAGTGTATCAGCCTGGGTATGATTTTACTCTGTCTTCTGATCCAGGGCTTCCCAACAGGACTTGGAAGACACTGCTGGGACCTTATTTTTGCCACCTCTGGATGCCATCAGTGTTACTTGCCTGCTGTTTTTATTTAAATAGATTTTGTGACAATTCACTCTTTTGCTCAGGCCAGTCTGTGAATTCACAGGTGTAATGTGCTAGTTAGGTTTTCTTCTAAATCATTAAAATGAGCACCTATTTTAAAAATGTTTTTTTAAAAACCCCAAAAACACAAAAAAAAACAACGTTTTATAGCCAGGCACCAGTGACTCCCAGGAGGCTGAGATCTGAGGATTGTGCTTCAAAGACAGCCAAGGCAGGCAAGTCTGTGAAACTCTTATCTCCAATTAACTACCAAAAAGCCTGAAATGGAACTATGGCTTAAGTGGTAGAGACTAGTCTTGAGCAAAATGCTCAGGGATGGGGCTGGGAAGGTGGCTCAGTGGTAAAGCACTTGCCTTGCATGCATGAGACCCTGGTTTCAATTCCTCAGCACCACATAAGCAAAAAGAAAAAAAGCTGGAAGTGGTGCTGTGGTTCAAGTGGTAGAGTGATAGCCTTGAGTTGAAGAGCTGAGGGATAGTGCCCAGGCCGAGTTCAGGCCCCACGACCGGATCAAAAAAAAAATGCTCAGAGATAGCACCCAAGCTCTAAGTTCAAGCCTCAGGACCAGCACACCTGTGCACGTGTGCACATGCACACACACACACATACATACACACACATTTTATAAAAAGTGTCCAGATGCACACTGTCTGGACTCCCCACACAGAGCCCCAGTAGCTCCTTTACATTATAGGCTCTGCTGCCTTATAAGGAGACAGGACATACCTCAAGTCCTGCCCATCTCTGGCAGGCCAGAGAACAGTACCTGAAGGCCTGCAAATTCTACCTGCAGCCCATTCTTTCTGTACCAGGAAGAAAAGAGGTTGCTTAGTAAACTACTTAAACAACCCAGACTCTGCCTTTGAGGGCTCCAAGAGATAGATGAGGGAAGGCCCCTCCTCCTCATGGTTCCCCAGAACTTTCTCTGTTCCCAGCAAGCAGGAGGAGGAGTGAAACTTGGCTCAACTCTAGGGATTTCCCATGCAGGCACTGGAAGGAGGCTACCAGAGGGTACTCACTGTATCCTAGGGAGACACTGGCCAGTCTGGGTGAAGTGGTGAATGAGGCCCTGGGACCAAGGAAGGCAGAAGTCAGCCAGAGAGGAGATGTAAGGAGGTGAAGCCCTGACACAGCTTCATAAGCCTATTCTTGCTGGGGGCATCAGCCTGGGCCAGGTCAGTGTTGGCTCCCAGACAGCCCCAGGGGAAGAAAACTGCCCTTGTCCCAGGAAGCTGAAAGGACATGGGCCCTGAACGAATGGGCTAGGGAAAGTAAAGAAGAAGCTGTGCCTGGATCTGGGAAATGGAGTAAGAAATGAGGAAAGCCCAGGCCTCATGTGTCTTTGCGAGGCCAGTGCTGTTGTCCAGATCCATAGCTTTCTGTCCCGGATTTGAGAAGCAGCCTAGGTCCCTAAGTGGCCCCAGATCCTGGTACTGCAACTCAGTTACATGGGATCCCTTACACTCAGATGACAGTAGTGACAATGATAATAACTGGGTTTGCTTAGTGCTCACCATGTCCTGTGAGTTTCATCATCACCATGGCTCATGAGTAGGTGCTTTTATCCCATTTCACAAAGGAGTAGACAGGCTCAGTGCTGTGTTTCTAATGTGGCCCAAGTCACATAGCCAGCATAGTGGCCTGAGGTACACGGCTCTGCGTTTCGTGGTCTGTGGCAGGACTCAGGGCTACCCTGCCCTCAGGGCTTGGAGGCCTTTGTGCCTGAGGTGTAGATGCTGTGAGAAAGGCCATTGGTCTGGAGCTACTGGAGCCCAGCAATCTGTAAGGCAAAGCCTGAGCCCCAGAGACCAGATCAAAATTCCTGGGTAGGAGGACTGTCAGGCTGGGTCCTGGGAGGGCTCTGGAAGCCAGCTAGAAACTAGGACAACATGACCGGGTCCCAGGAACAAGCTGAAACTGTGTAGACTATTTGTGCCTGAGGCCCTGGGGGCTGCAGGACCAAGGAGAAGCTGGAAGCTCTTCACCCGTAACCACTTATGGCTCTGTTTTTAGTGCTGAGAAACAATGAGACCACCAAGATCAGCCTGCTGGGGTTCCAAGAAACAGAGAGGCCAAGGCCAGTGCAGTATGAGCACTGGAGCCAGACTAACCCTTGCATCCACATCCCTCTCCACCTTTTGTGGGCTGTGTGACTTTCAGCTCATTACTCAGCCTCCCTGTGCCACTCATCTGTAAGCCATGCAGGGTGGTTGGCAGGTTAATTGAGTTGACACATGCAAAGTGCTCAGAGCAGCCCAGGCATTTGGTGAGCACTCAGTGCCTGTTGTCGTTCCAGCAAAGGGAAGACTCAGAATGTGGAAGAAAGAGCAGGGTACAATGTGAGTCATTCTTGGGAGCTCCTTTCTGCTTGGTGCAGACGAGGGAGCTGCCCTATGCTGAGACTGCCCTGCTGCCCCCTCAGTCCTTCATCTGTTTGCTTTTGTGCTCCTTGCATCCTCTCAAGCTCCTGTCCTGCACCAGGCAAGGTCTAGAGCCCTGAAGCAAACAGACTTTGGTATGCAGTGTAAAAGCAAGGGCACTGAGGAGAGGAAGATAATGGTGCCCCACACTCTCTGGCCTGAGGTTCTGAAATTGAAACTTAGGATCTGATCCTTTAGGTGTTGCTGCACTAGGCAGCCTGTCCCCATGCTGGGGGGGGGGGGGGCGGGGGCGGGAGGGGAGGGAGCATTCTCTCTAAGCAGTCACAATGGTTGGTGTGTGCCTGGGTGGGGTGGAGGGTGGGTGTGTCCAGGGCTACCAGCACACATCTAATGGCTTCTCTCCCCCACAGTGCGTCTCCATGACAGCATCTCTGAGGAAGGTTTCCACTATCTGGTCTTCGATCTGTAAGTGCCAGAGTTAAGGATCCCCAGCCCCAGTCTGGCCTCCCTTAACTCTCCTTGGCTTTGCACTGGTCTAATGGCTTCCTGTGGGGTAGAGCAGATATCCTGGGTGCCCCCCATCCCCCCCAAAAAGGCCAGTGGGAGTGAGAGAAGAGGGAAGACCAGACGGAGCATTCACCTTCCTTCTCTAGGGCCCTCATGCTGGCTGGTGTGGGTGTGTTGCCCGTGTGCATGCGTGCACATGTGTGGATGTGCTGAAGTGTGTGGGTGCCTGAGCGTGTGAAGGAAGGACAGCATGTGTGTGTGGGTGGCATACTGGGTCTGTGCATATGTGTGAATGTATGTTTGCACACGTGTTCGGAGTGATTTGTGGGGATAGATGCATGTATGATTGTGTGCCTGGTTGTGCTGTGTGTGTGCTTGCACATGGACGCACAGGCACGCACACAGTAGCTGAGCAAGAAGGCGTCTAGAGCCAGTGCCGCCTCGCACTTCCTGCTGGATTTAGAAGCGATGATCTCACCTCCCTCACTCTTGACAGCTCCCACCAAGCACTGCTATATTTAGCTGTCCGTGAATGAAGGCTGCTTCAGGACCCTGGGCTAGATGGGGGCCCATGGGCCTTGGCCTGCCCTTACGGCCTGCAGACCACACAGCCAGGGTAGCCGGATACTGTTGCCATGGTAACCACAGCCTCCCACAGCTGCCCTTGAGCAATAAGCAAACGATGACAGGAAGTACCTCCTAGAAGCTGCCTCTCAGCCTCAAAGAACAGCTGCTCAGGCTGTGGGGTGTGCAAGCCTGAGGAGCCTCCACCCACAAGGGATCCTCTGGTCTAGAGAGTCCAGGCTGTATCTGCAGGGGCTTGGTTGCCTTCAGGCACCCCTTTTTCAGACCCTGTCTGGAATTGGGTAATTAGGACTGACCCAAGCTCAGCTACAGCTTCCCAGCTGAGGTTACACCCTGAAACTGCACCATGGCCTGGAGGCTGGTGGGCTTGCTGAGTTCCCTGGGTACGCTGGACCTCTTTTCCCAAGATGTGGAGAGGCCTCTGGATAGAGGGTGGCCCTGTCCAGGGCTCCTAATAGCCAACCCATGGCTGCAGGTGCTCCAGGTGCTGTGTAAATGTGTGCACATACATGTCGGGGCTGCAGCAGCCCAGGCCAGGTAGATATAGAAGCTGGAAGTGGTGAGTCCTGAGGGCCTGCATATCCTTTTCCTCAACTTGCAGCGCCAACAGAATTCGGGACTAGCATCTCCTTCCAGAGGCTTTGAGGCCCCTTGGAAGTTTGGGGGTCTGTGTCAAGGGTTCAGGGGCTGGATCTGAACATGGAAGAGGCTTCCATGTGGGTCAGGCTGCTGTCCCTCATAGGAAGTGGATGTAATCCTGACATTGCTGTTTCTGCTTTGGGCATGGCATGCTGACACTGAAGCCATGTGGCTGGCCAGGTCCAGTTCAGGTCTTGTAATCCCAGGACCACTGCTCCAAGACTGCCACCCCTCAGGTAGCCCTGTTAAGGGCCACAGTTCCCTCAGAGACAAAGTGAGACCTTAGAAGGTCCTTAGTCTGAGGGACTTTGGGGACCTCATCGTGACCATTGGGGTGGATTTAGCCTGGAGCAAGGGCATACTAACACCAGCACTTCCTTGCTTTGTTCTTCTCCAATACTGAGACCCAGTCTCCATTCCTTTGGGTCACTCCTGCCAAGGACCTCATCAGCTCTGAAGGCTAGACACAGCTCTAGACTGGGGGATTTGAGACCGGCGGGGGAGGGGAGGAGAATCTTCTTAGACCTAGAACTAGTCACAATGTGGGCGTAAGACAGGAGAGCCCAGCTGAAATTCCCATGCTACCCACTCTGTAGAAGTCTCTTCTGTCTGTCTCTTAAACTCAGTGTGTGGTACAATGGTGAGGACAGAGATACCAAAGGTCGTGTGAGAAAGTGAGCGCTTGGGATGTTGTTAGCCCTGAGTTATGATAGCAGTAGGGTGGAAGTGGTGACAGAGATGATGGTGATAACAGTGATGGAGGTAGTGATGGGGTTAATGGTAGTAGTGTGGTAATGGTAATAGATGGTAATGATAGTGATGGTAGTGATGGTGGTGGTAGTGGTGGTGGTGGAGATGGTGATGGAAGTGGTGGTGATGCTGGTGACTGTGGAAATGGTGATGGTGATGACAGCAATGTGGCCATGTACTTTCCCTTCAGGGTCACTGGTGGGGAGCTCTTTGAAGACATTGTAGCAAGAGAGTACTACAGCGAGGCTGATGCCAGGTAAGTTCAGGGCCTCATACCACCTTGTCCCACCCTCCTCACCCTCAGCCCCTCCTCCCTCAGCCAACCCTCACCTCCTGTCACTCACACGGCCCTCATGGAGGGTGCTGGCGGGAAGTGCCCCCTGCCTGGAGCAGTTGCAGCTGGTATGGCTTTGACTCAAACAGAGGCATGGCCTCAGGGAAGTTTTTATGTTTTGTAAAACAGCCTGGAAGTGCAGCCCCTGGGAACACAGGAGGATGATGTTTTTTTTCTGTTTTACCTACAAGAGAAGCAGACAGTAGTGTGAAGTTGCTCTCTGCTCTGAGAGGCTGTGTAGGAATGTCATGGAGTTGGGTTGTCTGCTGGGCAGAGGGTCCTGGTGGCCCTTCCAGATGCTGGGCATCACCTCCTTATAAGTGCCCTGTGGCCATGCCCTCCTGCACTGTACGGGTTCCTCCTGCCTGCTTGTGGTATGGGCATCCCTGTGGTCCATGGAGACTTTCATGGAATCCCCCCTGCCTCAACAAGTGTCCCTCCCCACAAAATGGAGGATCAGTGCCTGCCCAGGAGGGGCTTAGGCGCAGAGGGGCTGCTGGGTGAGCCAGAATGGCTGTCTTCCCAGATCAGTGGCCACTTAGCCAGGAAGCTGGGCAGCCTTACTAGACCGCCTCAGTCTGTCTCTGACAAACATGCAGTGCCCCCTGGTGGCCATGATGCCTCCTTCAGGCCAGGCCTGCAGCAGAAGTCCTACCTGCCTAGACACTTCCTGCCACAGGTGCAGGAGGGAAAAGCCAGGTATTTATTCTCAGGTGCTTAAGCTGTTGGGGTCTCAGGAGTCTTTGGAGCATTACAATAGAGGAGGAAGGAATAACCCTATATCCCCTGCTAGGGCTCTCCTACCAGCAGGTGATCCCCAAATTCCCCTAGGGATATTGGATTCCAATGTGGGGGTGTCTTGGGTGTTTGAGGTCCCCTGAACCCAGGCCAAAAGAGATGGGGCTCCATCTCACAGCATGCTTTTTGTTTCTTCCCACACATTCTCTGCTTCTCTGGGGCTTGGGGCTCCAATGATGGCTGACTGGTAGTTAGATTGTGGGGTGAGCAGCCTGAGTGAAGGGAGTGCCAATACTCAGGCAGATATTTTGGAGGCAGAGCTACACGGAAGAGATGGGGCATGAGGGAGCCCTGTGGAGAGGCCCCCCCTGAGCTGGTCCTGCAGGTGAGACAGGCCAGTGACCATAGGGCAGCACCTCCACCATTGTGCTGGCTGAGCGCAGGGCCTGCAAGGAGGGAGAATCATGGCAGCCGGAATTCAGACTCCTGGTGGCCTCAACTAATGCCTCAGGTTGCCTGGAGTCTGACTTGGAGATCCCTATGGGTTGTACCCAGTGGCAAAGAGGGGGAGTTTGACCTTCCAGAATGGAAAACTACCACTGACTGGAGTCAAAATTGCTAACAAAGAAGACCAGGCCCCAGGTGGCATGGACCAGAAGCCCTGGACCAAACCCAGTGGGAGGGACACTCCTAATAGTCACAGATCTGGCCCTGCAGGTGTGTTGGAGGCTCTAGGTGCCTGCCAACCACTTGAACCTCTCAGGAAGAAGAAAAAACAAAAGAGGAGTGACTGTTAGAAATGAACCCACTTCTAACCAAGACTGGAAGTTTGGAGTTTGTGGGAAAACTCAGGGGTGTCCAAGTCTTCCATAAAACAGGAAAAGCAAAGTTAAAACTCTTCAGAACCTACTTTAAAAATAAAAAAAAAAAGTAAAAAAGAAAACCCTTAGAAGCTGCGCACAATGGTACATACCTGTAGTCCTAGCTACTCAGGAGCCTGAATTGAGCCCAGGAGTTCAAGACCAACCCGATTAACAAACCAAAATCAAAACAAATCAAAATCTCATTGGAGTTCCTGAGAACCTAGACTATGAGAACGACATCTGGTACCTGGCTCATATTTAGAATGACTCTTGGGAATGAATCTGACCACAGAATTAACTTCCAAGCTGCTCAGAACATGACAGACAGCCCTAAGGGGCCAGCCCTGCCCAGGGAAGGTGGCATGATACTAGTTGAAGATGGAGATCATGGCCAGAGCAGCATGGAGAAAGGTCCCTGGAGAGTAGGCATTTCCCAGGTGGCTGCTCATGGCTTGGGAAGGTGTTCTGGCCAGTATAGATCTCCTTAGTCTGGCATACCCTTGGACACAAGGCTCCTGGAGAGCCGTGGCCTGCCTTATTCATGAACATGGTGATCCTGTTAGCGTGGATTCAAAGCGTGACAAGAGGGCCAAGTGAGGGGGAGAGAACTAATCTCAGCACCAGGGACAACGCTGTGTGTACACCTGGAACAGTCTAGCACTGTTCTGGGTCCTGTACCACTAAAGGGGAGCCGGTGAGGACAGGGGCTGGACAGCACACAGAGCCATTGCACATTGGCTTTTAGTCATGTAGACTTCCTGGAGAGCAATGGTTTCCAGTTCTGGGCCAGAGTTTCAGCCAAGACCTGAGGCTGGCTGAGCCCTGGTGGCTTATGCCTATAATCCCAGCCACTCTGGAGGTTGAGATCTGAGGGTCCAGGTTTGAAGTCAGTCTGAGCAGACAAATCTGAATCTTATTTCTAACCAGTAAAAATCCAAAAGTGAATGATAGGAATGATATTGTCCAAGAAGAAATGTTCTTATCACCTGATTTATGAAATGGTGACCCTTGTACAACTCTTAAATAACAAAAATAAAATTATACACACACACACACACACACACACACACACACACACACACACACACACACACACACACACAGCCAGAAGTGGAGGTATGGCTCAAATGGTAGAGTGTTAGTCTTGACTAATTCTCTAGTGTGTGAGGCCCTGAATTCAAGCCCCAGTACCAGCACACACACAGAAACACACACTGGAGGAAGCTCACCCAGCAAAGTACTAATTTCCATCAGCACAGTGTAGGGAGTGCAGAGAAGAGCCTGAGCTCCTGCCAGTGTCCAGAAAGGTAACACTTTCTGATAACCATAGACTCTACCCAAATTTCTGCACAAGAAGAGTGCCCCAGATAGAGGGAAGGCTGGCCAGCCAGTAGGCCTGTGCCAGCAGCAAAGATGGATTAAAGATTAAGTTTTGTAGTCAAAACCAGAGGCCCATGGTCTTCACAGCTGTCAGGATAGACCAAGGCCCATAGTGACCACAGCTCTGCAAAGCAGTGCACAGGGACTAGCAGCTGCTAGGAGGATCAGGAGGAGCTGCTTCACTTTGTAGGTCAGAGAAAGTCTGTCCTGGGCAACCTGTGGCAGAGGACTTGGGCTCAGACATGTTTACCCAACATGGAGCTGTCCCCAGGGATTGGGGGCTAGATTGCACCCTATAGGGCTTCTGCCTGGCTCCAGGGAGAGGAGAGCTCAGGCCACACACATAGCCTTTTGTGTTGAAGCACAAGTATGGGAAGGTGGCCTGAAGACAGCTGCGAAAGAGCCTTCCCCAGCAGGCATGTCCTGGAAGGACCTGAGACGATGGCTGGCTGGGGCCTGTATATGGCCCCTTAACCCTCAGGGTCTGAGCTAGCTAACAGGTAAAGCTGTGCTAGCTAATGTGGAAGCCATGAGGCAACATGTTTGCATTTGTTTACAAGGAAATAATACATATATTAGCACATTATTGCTGCTCCTGAGTGGGCAGAGCCTGGGCCTGCACATATCTGTGCACCATGACCCACTGCCCATGCCTGCTTGGCCCTTCCCTGCCTCAGTCTCCCTGCCTCCTTGCTCCCAGAGCTCATCTGGGGGCAAGCCTGCCTTGCAGAGTATAGATCAGCCTGGCTTCTCTGCCCATAGCTCAGAGTCAGCCTGAGTCTGGGGAGGGTCAAACTGGGAGGGAGAGTGTTTTCCCAGAAAGCCACTTTTTGTGAGTCCAGCACTACCTCCTGAGCAGCACCACCATCCTCCCTTGTGCTCCGGCTGCTCCTCCATTCCCACCATCCCAGCGCCATCCGCCTAACCTGCCTGCTGTTTGCCACAGTCACTGCATCCAGCAGATCCTGGAGGCTGTACTCCACTGTCACCAGATGGGGGTTGTCCACAGAGACCTCAAGGTGAGTTTCCTCCACGTGGCAGGTGTTTATCATCCCCACCTGCATGCTGTGTTAAAGGAGGTGAGGGGAAAGTGGAGTGTGGGTAAATGTGCACAGCGTGGGCTTGCATGGAGACCAAGTGTGCATATGTACATGTGTATTGTACATGCCTGTTGTGAGAAACACATGGCCAAGCTTTAAGAATAGACTCAGATACACAAAGTACAGTGAAAGTAAGATTTTAATGGTTAATAGAAGTCTTGCAAGATGGAGTATCTGGTAGGCAGGCACATCCAAAGCAGTTTCTGTGGGCATTTTACTCTCCTCCCCTGATTCCTCATTGGCAGAGAACTATGGGCTGTACATTCACAGTGTCATTTTGTTCTATGGGATTATTTGAATACACGCACCTCTTTGTACAAATGAGCTTTGGTTGTCTCCATCTCTTCATGTTCTCTTGTGGCAGGAAAGCTTCTCTGGGTTTGTGCATTCTGGCATGTACACAGTTTTTGCTTATTCTCATTTCATTGTGCTCCATCCTTCCTCCTGCCAGTTGGCATCTTTCTTTCTTTCTTTTTTTTTTTTTGTCAGTCATGGGGCTGAACGCTGTCCCTCAGCTCTCTTCAGCTCAAGGCTACTGCTCTACCACTTGAGCTACAGCGCCACTTCTGGTTTTCTGGTGGTTTATTGGAGATAAGAGTTTCACGGACTTTCCTGCCCAGGCTGGCTTTGAACCGCAATCCTCAGATCTCAGCCTCCTGAGTAGCTAGGATTACAAGCGTGAGCCACCAACGCCTGGCCTGGTGGGCCCCTTTCTAACATCCTATTGACCTACCCTGTTTGTCTAGGAATCTGACAGGTACATAAACTTTGCAATAAACCATTAGGTCATTGCGCAAGCAAGTTCCTTAGAAACTTTCCACTAAGGGTCTTTAAGGCCTTGCCTTGAAAATGGACCACCACTAATATATAGGTCTATATTTACATGCATGTACACTGAGGCAAGTGTGCATATACTTGAGTATACAGATTGAGGTTGCATTGTACATGTGTGTGCACGTCTGTGGGATGTCTGCATATCCAGTCCAGTCTCTCTTGAGCTGGGGCTGGCAGCCTGTCAACAAATGCACAATCAGGGTCTCTCTTTCTGGACTTCCATCGAGATGCATCCCTGGTAGGTGAGGACACAGGTGACAGAGGGCTACTGGGGACAGTGTGGTGACAGCAGGCAACTACATCAACCCCTTTCATCACTCCCTGCTGCCTAGAGATGGACTGTAGGCTCCAGGTTCTGTGTAAAAGATTTGTCAGCCCCAGGACACAGGAAAGCTGCAGCCTCTCAGAAACCTCTGTATGTGGGAGCCTGATGAGCCTGGGGTCCCGGCCCTGGTCGCCTTGGCAAAGTCAGGATGATAGGGCCAAGTGTGCCAGGCCTATGGCCAGGAAGAAGGAGAATTCTACGGGGACACCCCCACCCCTGGCATGCAGCATGGACCCTGCTTGCTCTGCAGGCGTCAGCCAGAGCCCTGGGAAGCTCTGCTCTGTCTGTGGCATCTGAGCACTTGTCTTTGAAATGCACATCTCTCCATGTGGGACTGATACACTTCCAGTTCAAGGACCATGCTTGCACCATTTAAAATCTTGGAGAATGTAGGCCCATGTTAAGAAAGCAGTGGCTTGTAGGCCACAGTGTGATGAGAGCAGTCTATGAGAGGAAGGAAAAGGAAGCTTCCAGGCTGCCTGGGGGGCAGGGTATCCTCTGGTGGTCAGGGATGAGGGAAGCCAGAAGCAGTGAGCTCCCTTGCAGACTTTAAGCACTGTGGGGCACCTCAAGGACCAGGAGATAGTGCAGCCATGGGACCAGGCAGCTGGACAGGAAGGTAGGGGAAGCATCAGTCCCAGCAAGTCTAGAGGCAGCTTCTGCAGGATATGGTCAGAATTGAGTAACGGTGCTGCTCCCAGGGGGCTTTGAGTAATCTGTCTTTCCTTAACATGGGTACAGACAAGAGGTGGTTGGGGCAGAGACCTCCTTTCTACTCTGTGTGCTAGTGCTGGCCAGAGCCAGGTGGTACTTGGAACTCTGCCTGGCAGGTGGATGTCCTGGGCATGTGGACAAGCCTGGAGGGCCATGGAAGCAGGAAGGGCTGAGCCCCTCAGTAATGTCTCCCCAACCCCCACCTTGTACTATTAAGAAAAGGGAGGCTGCACCAGAGTAGTACTTCCACCAGGGAGAGCCCCAGTCCTGCAAGCATTGCAGAGTTGAATGGCCTGCCCCCCCCCCCCGGAAGTGGGAGCTCACTTTAGAAGAGTGAGCTGGAGCTTTTAGTCCCAGACTTCTGTTCTGGGATATAGGGGATCCAAGCTATGGTTGAGAGCCAGCTTCCCTCTGAAAAGCTACTATCCTTGTCCCCATGGGGATTCAAGCAGTAGAGTACATGCTTAGGGCTCAGCCATGCCTGAGATGTCCATGTGAGGGGGCATGCGGTGTTAGACAGGTAGACTGTTGTTCTGCAAACTGCTGTCATCTCTGTCTTGTGACTGCCTTGGATGTAAACGCCACTCCCTCATGGCTGCCACCTTGCTGTAGCCCGAGAACCTGCTCCTGGCTAGCAAGTGCAAAGGGGCCGCCGTGAAGCTGGCAGACTTTGGCCTGGCCATCGAGGTACAGGGGGACCAGCAGGCATGGTTTGGTAAGTTCCCTGATGGGGAGGGAAGAGGGTGCTGGCAGCCCTGTGCAGTCCTTCATGGCCTCTTCTCCTTCCATAGGGTTTGCGGGCACACCAGGTTACCTGTCTCCTGAGGTCCTGCGGAAGGAGGCATATGGCAAGCCTGTGGATATCTGGGCATGTGGTGAGACTCGTGTGTGGAATGGGTGGGTGGCACGTGTTTGGCAACATTTCAGGGCATTTCTAGGCTTACTAGCTCCGTTCTGGAGTGTGTAGGTGGCTGGCTTATCCTGCCCTGGGTCAGACCAGCATGGCCAGGAATGAAGGGACTGGGGCCTGGCAATGCTACTCCTTGCACATGGTCTCCCCTGGGCAGAGGCTAGCCTGTCTGGGCACCCTGGTGAAATAGGTTGCATGTAAAGCAGGAAGGGTTGTTTGTACCATCCTACCAATATGTCTGCTGTTGGAGAGGAGTAAAGGGACATGGAGGACCCCAGGGCCCTGCTGCTCACAGCCCTGTCCACAGGGGTGATCCTGTACATCCTGCTAGTGGGCTACCCACCGTTCTGGGATGAGGACCAGCACAAGCTGTACCAGCAGATCAAGGCTGGGGCCTATGACGTGAGTGCATGCACTGGGGGGAGGGGGGGGGGAAGGTCTTCTGAGGCCATGCCCTGACTGCTTCTCCTGACCCTGGCCTGAGAATGCTTCAGCCTCTTGGGACATTTTACATCCACAGTTCCCGTCCCCTGAGTGGGACACTGTCACCCCCGAGGCCAAAAACCTCATCAACCAGATGCTGACCATCAACCCCGCCAAGCGCATCACGGCCCACGAGGCCCTGAAGCATCCATGGGTCTGTGTAAGTCGTCCCTCAGCCTGGCGGGCGTGGTGAGGGCCCTGAGATGGATTCGGGTTTCTCTGGGTGTTCTTGTGGTCTTTGGCCTGGGAGACACTGACAGCTTTTGAGGGCAGAGCAGTCTGTGAGAGACCTCAGCTGGTCCTTTCTCCCATGGCTGAGACTTCCTTGGGGACAAGGCTGATGCCTCTTGAGCTTGTTGCTGTCGGTGACCTCCCCTTTCCCCACAGCAACGCTCCACAGTGGCCTCCATGATGCACAGACAAGAGACTGTGGAATGTCTGAAGAAATTCAATGCCAGGAGGAAGCTCAAGGTGAGGCACCACTCAGCCCCCACCACTGCTGTACAACCTGTCCCCACGAACCCTGGGCTGAAGTGTCAGCAACACCTGCATTGACCCAGTGGCAGATGGGAACCCCCCCCCCCCCACTATCCCTCCCCCACACGAACTGCTCATTCTTAAATCCCAGACCAGAAGAGTCTAACTCTGCAAACTGCCCAAAGTGTTCTTGTGGCCCTGGTGTGGACTTGGCTCCAGGCACAGAGCCAGCCCCTCCTACTTGCTAAGGCAGCTCCTAAAGGAGGCCTGGCCCACAGCTGGTTGATAAGGAGTAGAGACAAATGCTGTTCTTGTGGGCAATGAAAGTCAGGAAGGGAAGTGAACAGGGCTGGTCTTGATGGTCACTATCTGATCAAGTCTGCCATCTTCAAAGATCCTTGGTGCCAAGGGCGAGGCTAGGCCTTTTGCCTGACAGGTTCTCCTAGCTGCCCCCTAAAAAAAAAAAACCAAAACAAAACAAAACAAAACTTCCAAGGAGCAGGGAACGGAAGCACTAAGGGGAAAGTCAGAGGGGCTACTACGGTAACAAAGGAAGTTCTCGGGTCTTAGGATCTTGGTACCATGGTTAGTGGTCCTGGGTGTGCTTTGTGGATGGAGGCAATCCATCTTACTGCAATGTTGGGCTCCTGGAACTCACCACTTGCAAGGTTGAGCTTGCAAGCTAGCGGGCAGGGGTCTTCTGGCCAGAAGCCAGCAGGGGGTGCTAACAGGCAGTCCTGGCTCTGTCTCTCCCCAGGGGGCCATCCTCACCACCATGCTGGCCACCAGGAATTTCTCAGGTGAGACGCTCTTCTCCAGGGAGGATCCAGTGTCACCCTTGTCCAGCAGGTGGCGCATGGCAGAACGCCCTTTCTGTCATTCCCTTGGCCCCTCTCCACCAAGCTGGCCTGTGCCAGCCTCTGCCCTCAGCTCCAAGACTCACTTGCCCAGCAGGCCTCTTTGGTCCCCTTCTTGGGCAGCCAGCCACCAGCTACCAGGCTCTGCTAGTGCCTGCCCTGTCTCCGTCATGTTGGGTCTTGTGTCCTTCACCTGATGCCCCAGTGTCTCTGCTGCCCACCACCTGGCCTGCCACGTGTGTCTGCGCAGGCGTCTGTCGGGCAGCCCTGTGGCCCCCTTGTTTCCGGTGCTGTGAGTTGGGGTGTGGGGGGGGAGTGTGAGTCGGTGCACAGGCATCCCTTGTGAGTCGCGGACAAGCTTCCTTCCCTGGTTGCTCAGGGTGAATAGTGGGAAGATGAAGTCTTGAGGGTCTATTGGAGACCTCCAGGGCCTAGGGCGCTGCAGGCCCATCCAGGGCACAGCATTGGCCCCAGTGCCCAGACAGCTTTGCCTGTGGCTTCTTCGTCGTCCGACACTTAAGTGTGTAAAGCGTCTGTGGTCGTCCTTCCTTGTCCGTCCGCCTCTGGCACCCCCCCCCCCCCGCCCCCTTCCTGTTACTTTGCTGTGATGCTGTACTGCCGGGTCACATCAATACTAATGGGACTGTCCTGTCTGCTGTATGCCCAGTACACCTCCCCCCACTGGGCACAAGAAGCCCCACCGGGGTGTTCTAAGGAGAAAGGAGGCAAAGGCTTTTCGTTGTCAATCGGCCCAGTCTTGTTTCACTCTCCTGAGAAAGGGATTCTGGAGCCATCTGCCACCTAAACTTTAACTCTAATCTTCTTCTGCTTCCTTTGTCTCTTCTCTTTCCTCACCTCGCCCCTCACCCCGTCTGTGTCCACCCCCTCCCTCCCTTCGTCTCTAACCTGGTGCTAACAGTGGGCAGACAGACCACCGCTCCAGCCACAATGTCCACCGCGGCCTCCGGCACCACCATGGGGCTGGTGGAACAAGGTAGATGTGTCTTGCCCAGTGTCCACCCGCTCCTGCCCCTCCCTCCTGTTGGCATGCAGCCCCCCTGCTGCACGCAGCTGCTGGCCAGGCCCCCCAGAGCCACCCCAGAGGCTGGCAGGTCCCCCGGGAGCCCTGCTCCCACCATGGTCACAGCTCAGCAAAGTGTACTCAAGGGCAGGGAGGCAGCCCCCCTCCACCCCAGTTTCATCATCATAAGACGAGGACTAGCTAGGCAGCCTCATTTGGCTGAGTCTGTGGCTCCTGGCCTCTAGGGTTTAGGAGTCTAGAGACACTTGGACTTCACGAGGAACCACAGGGTCTTCTGCTGGGGGTTCTGGATCTGGAAGGGTAGCTGAGGTGGGGGGGTGCTGCCTCGAGGAAGCAGTAAGACCCATGGTTGGTCCTTCTCTCAGGGCAGGCGGAGCTGGTGGTCTGCTGCAGAGTTTCCATATCCTGTGTACCCGAGTGCGGGTGAGGGCCGCTTCAATGTCCAGGCAACTTTGAAGGCCTCTTCTCACAGCTTCTTTTCTAGAGACCCTTTTCACTTGGTCCAACACCCACAACGGGGAGAGAAGATTGCCCACCTGCTCCTTCTGACAGTGTGGGCAGACTCCCCTTGGGAGCTGGGCTTAGATCCTCTGAGATGTAGGTGGCTCTAGGATGTCTTCATGGGCTTTTAGCCACCACCTCCCCTGAGGAATGACACAAGTTTAGGATGGCCACCAAGCACACATCACTAGCCCAGGTCGCTCCCAAACCTAGCTACAGTTTCCTGTCGCACCCCCAGTGGTGGCTGAGGGCTGAGATGACTCCACCTCACAATCCCTACAGCCAAGGCTGGGCTTCACAGCCAGCAGGGCCCTCCTGAGGGAGACCTGGGCAGTCCTGGGAGAGGCCTATGTTCCCTACACAACCAGGGGATAGGCCACATTTGACAGCCTTTTTGAAGTCTGTATGGGAGTGAGGGAAGGGCTGAGTTAGGAAAAGGTGAAGCAAGTGACCCTGGGAAGGTCCCAGGGGACAGTGATGTGAGACAGGCTACTTCTGAGCCATGTCCTGCCCAGGGTTCCTGCTGCAACACCCGCCTGCCTGCACAGTGAGCAAGGGGCCACGGTGCATGAGGCCACCTGCATGCGTGGCTCCGCCCCGGATACTGAGAAATACTCCATCCTGGAGGGTGATCATTGCATGTGGTGGAGCCCAGCATGGATGCCCAGGGTGACCAGCTAGGGGGTGAGGCAGAGGTGGAGCTGAAGGTCCCAGCCACACTCCACAAAGACATGAGTCCTGAATCTCCCTTTTCCATGCCTCTGTCACACATCCTTGCATGGCAGAGCCCCTTGCTCAGCAGGGAAATCCTTATTGTGGTGTGCTGTCCTTCCCCAATTAAGCAGGCATGAGATCTATGGCGACCCCTAGCAGCTAGGGCAACTGTGGCTCAACCTGAGCAGCTGGCAATAAGCAGTACGGGAGGGGGTGAGGTGAGGGGGAGGAGTCACCAGCCTGTGGAGTCCCCCTCCCAGGTGTCTGGGATCCTATACTTGCTGCGTCCACCTTGGCTCCGGCTGCGCCTTATAAATGCTTTTAACTGGAAACACCATGAAGGAGGCTTCTCTGCCTTCCGACGGTGGGGTAGGTGGTGTGGACAGGCTCCTGGCCACAGTAAATCTCTAGTAGAAAAGAGAGACATGAATATTGGATAAAGAACTGGCCCCAGAAAACTCATGGCCAGGAGCCGTGCACTGGGAAAGGGCTGAGCTGAGGGCCTAGCATATGCACAGGGACTGTTAAGCCCAGGTCCACAGAAGGATGTGGGAGCTACACAGATGTCTGTGCAGGGCTTCTGGGCCTGGGCCATGGGATCATCCAAGCCTTCAGGGGAGCCGCTCAAAGGGAATAAACTCTGACCTCTGACTTCCCACAGATAACTGTTCACATCTCTACTAACACAGCTTGGAAATGTGGCTTTCGACAGACCCAGGGATACAAATGGAACATAAAATTTTAAAAACTGGACATACATTTTTAAGACCAGAAACCATCCTGGGGTCTCTGAGCTCTGACCCAGTACTTCCCTTCCTGTGAGAGTCCTCTGAAAAGGAAGGGGTGCCCGTCCAGCAGTCTCGACCTGGCCTGGCCTGTGCTGCGCTGCTTCTGCCACAGAACACTGCTGGAAATGCACTGCATTGGCCAGGGCCAGGAATCTCCTGCTGGATTCATTATTCGTGGTTTCATTACAAATTTCAGGCTGGCCTCTGGAAACTACCCACTGAAAGTGCCTCCTCTTTGCAGTTTGTGTCCTTTGAGGGGATAGGGGTTCCCCCCTTGCAGCTGACCAACCCACCATAAATATCCTTACGAAGGAGCTGAGTGTCTCCTCCTTTGGGGCCCAGCTGTGTGGGCAGCAGGGGGGAAATTCCAAGCTGAAGCCACAGCAGTACAGGGCCTGGCTCCCATGCCGGAGGCAGCCCAGGCCATGGCAGATCCATGGGAATGAGAGAGAAATATCGAGGACAGGCTTGTCCCTGTGGAATGTTACTGGCAAGCAAAGCCCAGCCATAGTGAGATCTGGGCTTTTGTAGGCTGCGCTGCGGGGAGGTGAGAAGTGACATTTCTGGTTCTAGGAGGCTACCCAGCTGGTCTGCCCTGGGATGACAGAGGTGGTGCAGCTTTGCCAGGCAGCCTGAGGCCTTGAGAGAATGGAACACGGCTCCAAAGTTGGGCTTCTGGTTAACTCCAGAGAGACCTGCTTGCTTCCTGGATCCTGGATGGACCTTAGCTTAGATCTACTCTCACGTTAACTGTGTGCCTACCATAGCAGCTCCAAATACCCCTCAGAGTAGTAGGCAGCTGCTAGACAGCCATACCCCTCCCTCTGCACAGGCTCTGTGTGCAGGGCCAGCCCATTGTCACCTTGGCTAGGGAGTGAGTAGTCAGCAGGCTGTGGACCCAGGCCTGGTCTCTGAAATGAAGCAGCGGCTGTCAGAACTGCACTTGAGGGTAGATGCTGGGCATGCACCCTCCCCTCCTGAGGGGTAGAGAAGGAGGCCTGGGAATTTGCATTTCTGGCCATTCAGGGTGGCATTGTTGCTGCTTCAGGGTGGGGTGGGGGTTATGAGAACACTACAGCACTGTCTCTGAGTTCCTGTCCCCATGTCTCTGGCCAGAACTGGCACAGGTCTTCCAACAGGTGCCCTCCAGCAGGGAGAGCCTAATGTCAGGTATGGCTAGCCAGAGGGTTACACTACGTCCTTCCCTCTGGGCCTGGGGACAGGGATCTCTCGTCACACACCTTGCTCGCGCTGTGCCAGTGCTTCTGTAACCCTGTTCCAGCCACAAGGCTGTGTGGCTCTTCTTGGGGAATGCTGGGGCCAGGACAGGCTGGCCTTGCTGCCCTGTGTGCGGACATGACTGAACCAACACAAATCCTGTTTTCTCTCTTCTTCTCTCTTCCTTCCTCACTCCTTCCCCTCTTCACCTTTCCTTTTCTGTAAGGTAAGCTGACTTCTTCTTTTGTTTTCTTTTCCTTTTTTCTTGGTTTTAGTTCTGTAACTGAGGTTCTCACGTCTGCTCTGGAGGGTGTTGGTGCTAGGGGTAGAGGAAAGGGCAGAGCCAGGCCCGCCCTGGCCTGTGACAGGGTCCTGGAACCAAGGGGGCCTTCTGCTGGGCTAGGGTGCCTGACAGTGCTGAGGGCACTGTGGGCACTGTCAGAGCCATCAAGAAGTAGCCCACAGCCAGGGCTACTGGGGCAGTTCAGGTGGAAACTATCAAGTCTGGAGCCATTTGGCCCTGGTAAAGTAAGGGTTGGGCGCTGAGAGCTGGGCACAGCCCGCTGCAGCCCACCACCCTATGTTGGGACACAAAAAGCTGTGAAGGGCATGATGGGCATGATCTTCCCTCCCTGCCCAGCTACCCACCATCCCCAGATTTAGTCAGCACAGGGCTGGGAGGCTCTTCCATGCCCTGTGGGGGATTCCGGGGCTCCTGGAAGATGTGGGGGCAGGGCCATCCCTGGGGGGAGGGGCCCTAGGCAGCCTGGCCCAGCCTCCTTTGGAGGTGCTGCTGCTGCTCAGGGCTGGCCTCAGTACCAAGGCCTTTCCTGCCTGTGTCCTGGGCAGCCCTCCTGGGGAGAGGGCAGAGGCAGGGAGGGGCTGGGACAGCAAGGCTGCCTGACCCATGGCCCTGACTGCACTTCCTTTCCTCCCCATGCAGCAGCCAAGAGTTTACTCAACAAGAAGGCAGATGGAGTCAAGGTGAGAAGCCAGCTCAGCCCTGAGGGTCCACAGCATGCTGGCTCTGCCCCTCACCCGGAGGCTCCAGCTCTTGGGCCCACCATACCCCCAATGGATATGGGAGAGGTTGGGGTCTCTGCTCCCCCTAACAGCTCTCCTTTCTCTCTCCACAGCCCCAGACAAACAGCACCAAAAACAGTTCAGCTATCACCAGCCCCAAAGGATCGCTCCCTCCAGCAGCCCTGGTACTGAGCTCCTGGCCCCTGTCTCTCCCACACCCCAGTGTCAGAGAGGGCCCCTGAGGTGGGGTCAGCAGCCTCCCACTTGTCCCTGAAGGCCCACTCCTGCTGCCCCCTCCAGTCCCACAGGAAGGGAGACAGACTGGAACAGCACAGTGGGGGATTTGCCTTCCCAGAGGAGAGGCTACAGCTCCTCAGTTCAGGCACACTCAGGGCTGCTCAGAGAGCCCTTCCTTAGGGAGAAGTCTGGTGTCACACCAGGCTTGGGTCATCCCCCCAAGAAGCTACAGTAAGGGATGGTCAGGAGGATTTGAGGCAGAAACAAGGGGGAGGTGCCTAGCATCCCTATCCCTCCCCCAGAGACCTTCCCATTCTGCAGATGACCCAGATAGAAGAGGTGAGGCTGGGCTCTGCAGGGATGTGTCGTGGTGCTGTGGGGAGGTCAGCAGCAGCCAGGCCAGGCTTGGCCATCTGTAAGTGCTTATCCAACCCAGCGTCCTCTGCTGGTCCCTATGTGCCCACAAGGGAGGCATAGGAGCTCCCTGCTGAGTAGTGGTGAGATTGCCCATGACATCCCTGCTGTGGTCCCCTTGCCTCCAAGGGGGCCCTTGGCCAGGCTGAACCCCCTGCCCTTGGGCGCCTCCAGGTGAGCCTCACAGCAAGTGTCCAGGGATTTGGAGCAATGGCTGGGTCACAGGCTCCTGAGTTTGCTGGAAGTACATTTGGTGATCTCCATGGGTCCCAGTGCTTTTAGGGAGGCAGCCCAAGACTGCCCATTTTCAGGCTGACTTGCTGAATGGCCTCCCTTTAACTCATAGGAAGTTGCCCCTTGTTGGGGGTAGGGAAGCCACTCAGAGCAGCCAGGAGGTGGCAGGAAGGTACCAGGTGCTAGTTCACCCAGCACCTCTCAGCAGCTGGGGAAGCCCACACACAGGCCTTACAGCCAGTCCACCCTTGGACTCCATCCATCCCACATGCTAATCCCACCCCATGACATCTTCAGGCCTGTGCGCCTCTGTGCTGAGGGCAGAGAGAACTCCCAAGGCAAGGCAGAGCCCACACACCTGCAGCTGCTCTTAGGCCCTGTGAGATCCATCGAAGGACAGGAAGCACCGTCTCCAGCCTGGAAAAATCTATTGGTTCCACCATTTGGTCCAGCCCCAGCCTGCTCCACCACTCAGGGCCATTGCTGACCACCTGCTGCTCCATCCCTATCAGGCCATCTTGCTGACCACCTGCTCCTCCATCCCTGTCCCTCTGCTCTGCACTCTCTCTGGGTGGACTCTGGCCACCGCCCACTCCTCTGTCTCCCTGGCTCACACTGTCCTCTGCTTCCTTCTTTCTCACTCTCCCTCTCTTTCCTTCCTCTGTCTGCTGCCTTCTGTAGGAGCCTCAAACCACCGTTATCCATAACCCAGTGGACGGGATTAAGGTACTGCCACCGCCTCACTCCTCAACCTTTCCTCAGGCAGGAGGCGCGGGCCCAGGAGGAGGGTGTGGATGGTGATCTGGGGAAGCATTTCTGCCCCAAGGGAAGGCAGGTGTGCAGCCACCAGTCCCCCAAGGCAGAGCAGAGTTCACACACCCACCAGCCCGGAGGACCACAGCTGGACACACTGACTCAGGAGAAAACTCTCATAGCCACGCATGCTGCCACAGCGCCAGCCCTCAGCTCCAAGGGGCACTCTCCACCCAGGCCCTGGGTCTGGGCCTCAGATGCTTAGGGCAAGCTCCCTTCTCAGAAACTTGGCCTTTGCCCTTCCAGCTGCCCTCCGCCCCCACCCCCTGGCGTGGCCCCAGCGCTTCTGCTGAGCGGACCCCTTCTGCTCCTCTCTGCTCTGCCATCTGCTCCCATCCCATTGGCATCATCACCTGGGGCCGGGGAGGGGCTGGCTTTCTCTGTGGTGGGAGGCACCAGTAGGAGGCCAAAGCATTTGGCCTCAGCTGTGCTGGGCAGGCAGGACAGACTCATGCCTGCATCTGGGCTACCTAATGAGCCCCCAGAGGACCTCAGTGGGACCCCTGTTTCTCCAAGATTCCCACCCTGGGCCATTCTCTATGGTGGGGCTAGGGAGCTACAGCTCCCACAGTGCTGAGGTGCAGAGGCCTGATTTCCTCTCTCCCAAGTAGCAGGTGTGCCTTGGGACCCTCTGTGTCTGAGATTGGGTTCTGTTTCTCCTCTGAGAGGCCCCTAGACAATGTCCTGTGCTGGGATAAGCCATAACTCTAGACCTGAAAATCCCCAGTCTGGCCCAGGGCCTAGGCTAGTCAGTGTCCGCGCTGGAGCGTAGTCCTGCAGGTGCCAGTGAGGTGCTCTTCCTGAGGGACACAGAGGTCTTCTGGGGACTGGGTGGTTCACAGATGCTCCTTTCCCCTGAAATACAGCAGCCACTTGAGGGTGCAGGCATTGAGCCTGCTTGTCTAGACCTGAGAGGGACAGGTGGTCCTGGGAAGTCTCACCTTTTCTGGAAGAATGGATCCCCGAAATCTGTTCGCCTTGTCTGCAGAATGCACAGCTTCCAGGGCCTCCCATGGTAACCAGAGTCCATGTGTTTTAAATCTTGGGATTTCAAAAGGCCTGGTCCTCTTTCATCAGTGAGCTGAGCAACCCAGGCCTCTCCTTGAGGAAGGTGAAGTTGAGGCCCCAGCTGTTGGGTATGTGGATGGATGCAGCCTGTGGGGAGCAGAATGAGCTCTTGGGGGACAGTGCCCTCCTGGAAGCACACACAGCGTAGGCAGGCTTCAGTCACTGCTTCCTTGGAATTTGGGGGCTGGGACACAGCCACCCTAGGGAGGGTCTTCCCGTGACCCCCTGTGAGGTCTGACCTGGAGCCTGAGCTGGTTCCACTGGCTGCATCCTGCCTATCTCTGACCTGGTCCTGAACTACACTTCCCCTGTTTCCTTAGGAGTCTTCTGATAGCACCAACACAACCATAGAGGACGAAGATGCCAAAGGTACCTGAATGGAGGCCTTGCCTGGCCCTGCAGGGCTGCTATCTGGGCTGGGTGGGTCCTGGACTGCAGGGTCCTGTGTCTCAGGCTATGTGTGCAGCTGTTCGGGGCTTGCCCTGTGCAGGCCACAGTGTTTCTGAAATGCATGGGGGTGGCTGGACATCTTAGGCTGCAAAGTGCAGATGGCCTGGGCCAGCACTGGGGCCAGGATACCAGTTCCTATGGGGACAAGCGTGTGGGTAGAATTTGCTCAAGATGTTTGTCTTCTTTTAAAGTTTAAGCTTGTGGTTCCACTCAGCTTGCTGCACTGGATGAGAGGCTGGGTGCTTCATGTTTTCTTTGCTGACTTGGGAGACCCTTCCTGAGGTGGGCTTCTATGCCACAACCCAGCAGGGGCCCTTCCCACACTGGGTCTGGTGACCCTTGGGCACGCAGCACCAGGGACTGGGCCCCCGGCATCTGCCTCCCCAGGATGAAGGCTGACACTCAACTCTCAGCTGCACATTCACATATATAATGAGCTCTAAGTTGTCCTCAGAATGGTGCTAGAAGTCACATGGGGGACTCCACTCTGCTCCTGACCACCCTACCCAGCTTCATTGCTGTCCCTGAGAGTCCCCCACACTCCAGAGGAGAGATGGTCATGGGGCTTTGAGCCCTGGATGGGGGAGAACAGATAGCTGTGCACTTACCCCTCAGACTGAAATAGACCCAGAGTCACAGGGCATGGATGCCATCCATACTGCTCTGTCCCCGGTCCTGCCTCCTCAACCTGGCCAGAGGGACACTGGGCATTGAGGGAGGTGGCTGGACCTCAGGCCTGTAGGAGGGCAGGGGAAGACAGACCAGAGATGCACATGAGACTTAGAGCCAGATCGAGGATCTGAGCTGGGACAGGCCCCAAGACTAAAGGGTTGCATTTCAGCTTTGTCATACCAGGGAGGACCTCCATCCACCCTGTGGCTAGGCCATAACTGGCACAGAGCTGGAGCAGCCCCAGGGGCTATCGTGCCAGGGGATGACAGTCATTCCCACCTGTCAGCCTGGCCTCTGGAGCTCCTGACTGGGAGCCACTGATGCAGCCCTAGGGGCAACCTTCTCCACCTCGGTCCCCGTGGTAGTGGTCTGGGTTCTGCATACATAACTTCTGTCCTCATTCTGGCCTCTTACGGCCCTGCCACTTTCTCTCCGGAGTACTCGCTGCTGCCCATCTGCTGCCTCTGTTCCACCCCAGCCCCCAGGGTCCCTGATGTCCTGAGCTTGGTGAGGAGGGGCTCGGGAGCCCCAGAAGCTGAGGGGCCTTTGCCCTGCCCATCTCCAGCTCCCATTAGCCCCCTGCCAGCCCCGTGTAAGTAGTTTGGGCCCTGCTGCTGAACCCCCCTCACCTCCCAGCTAGTGACCGGTGGGACACTCACATCAAGGGAGGATCAAACTTGGGTTGGTGGCTCTAGCCCAGCCCTCCTCCTTCCCCCCATCTCCCGCACTGGGATTCCACAAGGCACCCTCTGTGTGAGCCTAGATAACGCCCATTGACGGCCTGTTGGGACACTGCCTTAACCCACCTTCCCGCTCAAGTTCACTGGACAGCCTAGGAGACCTAAAGGATCGGGCCTTGACACCACTACCTCCAGGTCCTGCCTATGCCTCTCTCTGGCCCACCTCTGGGGGGCTTAAGTAGGGGGCTGGCTCCCAGGTCCCCTTACTTGAGAACAGGGGCCTCACTTCCTCCCGCCTTCCTTTTGGCTCTGCCATCTCCTCATATGTCTGTCTGCCTCGTGTTCATGTCTTGTCTGTTCCGCCCCAGCACCCAGGATCTCTGACATCCTGAACTCGGTGAGAAGGGGCTCAGGAACCCCAGAAGTCGAGGGCCCCCTCTCAGCGGGGCCCCCGCCCTGCCTGTCTCCGGGTCTCCTAGGCCCCCTGCCCACCCCGTGTAAGTAGTGGCCTCCAGACTCACTGCCTCTGCTGCTGAGGGCTCACTGTGAATGGCCAGTGCTCAGCTTCCTGCACCTGCCGTGCATGGCCCAGGCCTAGTCCCTGGCCAGGGTGCTGATGGTGCCTGGCCTAGTTGGGCTTCCTGGGGACACATGTGCTAACTCAGCAGGCAGCTACCTGGCTTCTCCCCCCAGGACCCAGCTCCTCCCACTTTGGCTCATCCCCCACCCTCACTGCATTCCTGCACGCTGCCCACCTTGCTGTCAGTTTCAGGCCTTTTCCTCAAAGGGTCTGTCCTACAACCTGGGAGATTGGTTGGCCCCTCTGGGCCCTTATGGCCATCTCTGTAGAAAAATTTCTAGCTACATTGACTGTGCCTCGCCTACAGTACCAGGAGCCTGCTTCTGGGGCTGCCCCTGGATCCCTGTAAACCCCAATCACTCAGCACCACTCCTTGTGGAATGGGGGACTGAGGAAGGTGCCTGAAGAGGAATGACAGACAAGGAGACATTACTGAGAAGAGGCCTGGCCTTCCACTCACCAGCTCTGTGTACACGAGCCAGGACCATGCTTCCTCTGGGACATACCTTCTCTCCTACAACCTTTCCTCTGCCTACCTGTCGAGCATTCCCAAGCCTCCATACACGCAGCAGCGCTCTCTGGCTTCTTGCGGGCCAGGTTGCCTCTCTTTGGAGGTCATCCTCTGCCCAAGGCAGCTTCCAGCGCTCACCAAGACAATAAAAGCACCTGTGTTCCTCCTGGTGTCTCTTCCCACATCCCATGTTCCTCCACATTCCCCTTTTGTCCTGTACCCCCAAACCTCCATATCTTCCTTCCATTCCCCCTCCCTGTCCTCCTAATACCTTCACATCCCTTCCTGCAATCCTTCCTACTCTCTGGCTTGGCTCTCAACCTGTAGGTTTCTTGCCCCACTTGTGTTCATGTCTGTCTGTTCCACCCCAGCCCCCAGGATCTCTGACATCCTCAACTCAGTGAGGAGGGGCTCAGGGACCCCAGAAGCCGAGGGCCCTTTGCCAGTGGGGCCCCCACCTTGCCCATCTCCGACTCTCCCTGGCCCCCTGCCCACCCCGTGTAAGTAGCACTTCAAGTGGCCCTGGTGTCTCCTGGGAGGGGTTCACGGAGGTGAGCCCTCACCCCCACCCTGCATAGTCTGCTGCCAGCCTGGCTGCAGGGATGAGGGGCACAGGGCCTCTCTGCTGGATCATGGAAATTTGCATCAAAGTGGATGAAGAAGCCACAGGTCTCAGAAAAATGTGGCTCATAGTCATGAAGTGTGTGTCTGTGTGTATGTGTGTACACATGTGCACACGTATGCCTATGCATGCACACACCTGTGTAGAAGCATCCAAAGCAGCATTCAGCAGCCTGGAGCACTTGCTGCCCTGTGGCTGCACTTGATTCTGATGAGAGTGGAGTGAGCAATGATCCCTGCAACACAGGAGCAGAAGTCCCCCTCCCCCAGGACAGGGCCACCTGCGTGAGAATACGCCTTCCTGGATATAGGATAGGAAAAGAAATTCAGTCCTGGGCCCTGAGAAATTCTCACATTCTGGCTGTCAAGCCAGCCATCAGTGAGCAGACTTGAGGGGCAGCCAGGGGCACGGGCGGGCGGGCAGGCGGGCGGGCGGGAGGGCTGGAGAGGCAGGCGCAGGCGGGGCAGCTTCCCCAGCCTGTGTGCTGACTGCCCGCCAGTATCACTTACAGGGATGGATGACATCCCAGGGCTGCAGCCACCGCCACCCCCACCTCCGGGGAAGCGCGGGCCTGGGGGTGGCATCCACATGCTCTCAGAGAACAGGTTGCCGGGCCAGGGGCCTGGCATGGCCGGGCAGTGGCTGGGTGAGTACTGATGTCGGGTGAGGCCTAGGGCAGATCACCCCATCTTGTTTTCAGGCTAGGCCTGGGGAGGGGGAGAATGGGCTGTTGCAAGTGGGAGGGACCAGGGCAGAGGGGAGGGGACGGAGTGACCCAGAGAAAGTAGTGGTCCTAGAGATGGGGTTCAGTAGCCTGAAGCCACAAAGGGGCATAGATCCTTACTGTGTGGCCTGGGAGTATTGGAGCATATTCTGGGGAACATGACACCCTCCCCCAGCATTGCAGCATTGCGTGGTGGGTAGAGTAGGCTGGAAGTAAGGTGCTGAAGTGTGAGACCAGGTTCTAACCGGTGATTGGGGGGACAGGGGGACAGACCAGGAAGTGGACAGACAACAGAACTAATGAAAGGAGGCTCAGGGAAAGGTGCATGTGGTTAATAGGCACTAAGTGAGGCTTCTAGGAATATCAGGACCCCCATTTCTGCAGCATCTCATCTGGTTACAGAGGCCCAGTGTCTGCAGCAACACCTGTCCACTGGGTCTGTCGTAAATAGGTGCTCTAGGGAAGAGCCAGGGGTGCACTGAATGGCTGCATCACCCTAGGGCCATGATCTTGAGCTTGGAGAGGTGGCACGGCAGGGATAATGGAACTATGAACAGGTGTCTTGGGAGGGACTGAGCAGAGCTGGGGGCTGAGGGCAGAGACATTGAGCAGGCTTAGGAGGAGGACCTGATAGGTAGGTTGTGGGTCCCCCTTTCCTAGGAAGGGATCCCTTGCCTTACTGTGGAACAGGGCTCTGTCTCTCCCCAAACACAGGACCCTCCCCACACAGTTCTCCTTGCAGCCTGGCCTCTTTCCCTAATCAGGGATTACTATGATCTAGGCTGATCCAGGCTGATCTCTGGGCAGCTGCTCTGCCTCTGGCAGCTCCAGACTCTGAGGGTGGAGGCTTTACCAGAAGGCAACAGGGGTTGGGGGGGGGGGGGAGGGGGGACAAACCTTCATAGGCCCCACCTGGATGCTTGGGGCCTTCCTAGGGAACTTCAGGTGGGGGGTTGGAATCTCATTTACCCTGGGCCTGGGTAAAAAAAACCTACTCTTGCTAAACTTCAGCCTCCATTTCAGTGTATGGACACCTTGTCTGTAGCAACAGGCCTTACTACCTAGGCATTCGCTTCACTTTGGGCTCTTGATCCCTCCTTCAGGGCACCATGCCCAATGGGGTCTGGACAGCAGCTATTTCACAGGTCAGGAAGTGTCTGGCAACCTCAGCTTCCCTTTCTGTAGAATGGAGGTTGGCTCCCACAAAGGACTCTTTCCAGTAGTGACCAGACCTCTGACCTCCTCTCTGTTTACTTAATCCATACTCTTCACACAAACTACCACTTTTAATGTTTTTATGGTTTGAAAACTATTATCTCGTTGAAGTGAAGACGAGTTCCACTTTCCAGGGTGTAAGAAAGCATGCTGAAGTCAAGAAAGTAACTCAGTTCCAGCCTCGTAAGTGTGGAGGTGAGGGCCTCCTGTGGAGGAGGCTGCTCCTGTCTGTTAAGAGAGACTAGCAAACATCAGGAGTGACTGGGGCTGTACAGGGCATAAAAGGGAACCCCAGTGGGGCTGGGCAAAGAGCTGGCTGCAGGTTTAGAGCTGTCACACCTGAAGCTTGGAGTCTCCTCCAGAAAGCACAAGAAAGGGGGATGAGTACTCAGAGGGGGTGAGATTGATTGGAATATGTTGTATGCATGTGTGGGGCTGTGAAATGTAACTCCCTCCTGGATAATGAATGTATGTTAATGTTAAATGAGATACAAGAGCCAGGCATGGATGGCTCACACCTGTAATCCTATTCAAGAGGCTGAGATCTGAGGATCTCTAAAGCCAGCCTAGTCAGGAAAGTCCAATTAGCCACTAAAAAAAGCCAGAAGTAGAGCTGCGGCTAAAGTGGTAGCATGTTAACCTTGAGCACAAAAGCTCAGAGACAGTGCCCAGACCCTGAGTTCAAACCCCAGGACTGCCCCCCCCCCAAAAAAAAGCAATGAGAAAGGGGGGCAGTGCCAGAGTTTTGCAGCTGGGAGGGGTGGACTGCAGTATCAGGGGCTGCCTTGGGATCCAGAAGTCACCGTTGTGTTTGATTCTTCTCCCAGAACCAAGCACAGATCAGGGACCCAGAGCCAGTACTGGAGAAGGGATTTGGAGCTCACAGAGGCTGGCTGTTTAGAGCAGATGAGTGCAAGCTATCACATAGTCTAGATGCAAGCTCAAGTCCATGAGTGTACATGCACACATACAAGCATGTGTCCAAACAACACACAAATGGGGTACCCATGTACTGTGTCCACAAATAGGCATGCATGAGTATTCATGCCCTCAGTGTGTGTGCACTCCCATACGTACGCACATACATGCACCCATGCTCATATACATTGTGTATGAACACTGCCTGCACAAGCACACGTGGATCTAGGTTCCATAGGAACCCAGAGCCAGTACAGCTCACATGTGCTCAGGCTAACACAGATGCCCCGGTGCTGGCACACACATGGCACACTACCATTCACATGGTGGATGTGGACTTAGTTCCCTCTGGAAGTGGTGGGCTGAGCACCCAGAGGGCATGGGAGCTGAAAGCGTGATAGACAGCCCTTCCATAGCTTCTCTGCTTCCATGTTTTTTGTTTGTCCTGGATTATGTGTTTGTGTGTGTGCACGTGTGTGCGTTTCATTCCTGGGGCTTGAACTCAGGACCTTGCACAAACTAGGCAGGAACTCTACCACCCTTTTGTTCTCACTTTTTGAGACTTTTGTTCTTACTTTTGTTTTTTGCTACCTATGCTGAGGTACTCTCAAACTCTCCATACTCCTGTGTCTGCCACCAAGTAGCTGGGATTAGGGGAGTCTGCCACTGTGCTTGGCCCTAAAATTTTTATTTACTGAGGTGCCAATATGGGGCTTGAGCTCAGGGCTTCAAACTCTTGCTTAGCTGTTTCAGCCACCACTGTCGCTCTACTTGAGCCCCACCTCTGGTTCTCACTTTTGGTTGCTTAACTAGAGTTGAGTTTGGTGAATTTATCTTCCCTGGGTCAAACCTTGACCCTCAGATCTCAGCCTCTAAATACTAGATTATAGGATGAGCTACTGGTGGTACCTGGCTGTAAATTTTGTTGAGGGCTTTAAAATTTTGTTATAAAGATGATGTATAGAGGGTTTCAATTATGTGTCAGGTAAAAAAGTACATTTCTTTGTGTCATACCTTCCCTAGCTCCAGGCTAAAAGCTGTCTTATAATTCTACTGTAATCAAAGCAGTAAAGAGGGCTTCCAGCAAGTGCCCCAGAGGCCAGTGCTCGGAGCCTTGGGCCTGGGGTTTGCAGACAGTTGTGGTGGGAGAGTCTTCAAACAGTACATGGTCCAGGACTGAAGGCAGGTAGAGATGTGGAATGCAGTAGCCAGAGATTACCCTGTCTTCCTGCATGGAGCAGAATCTCCCAAGTGATCTTGCTCTTGTCTTTCCTCAAAAGCCCACCCTCCTTCCAGGGCCCAAGCCTGCTGACTGCTCTTCTGTAGCTGCTGCCAGCCTTTGGTGACTCCTGGGAAGGGGGCACTCAGTGAGCAGGCACAGGTGAAGGATGGAACAGGAGGCCAGGCCAGGGCCTATGCTATAGGGAAGCCCAGGGTGGGGCCAGTAGATGCAGGAGGGGAACTGTGGGCTGAGTTATAGGGAGGTTCTGTTGTCTTCCATTCTGCATTTTCTGTACACTTTGTAATACCTATGGAGTATTTCTGCTATTTAAAAACATTTTCTCCAAGAACAACACGGTGGATGCTATGGCACTTGGAAACAAGTCATTGGTGTTGGTGAGGGTGCTGGGTCATCGAGACAGTTTGGGCATAGGTGTCAAGGTCTGGGAAGGGGAGCCAGTTCCAGGTCTGGGGCGGGATGTGCTGTGTGGATGGCACCTGCAGCTCTGGCCCAGCCCGGCCCTGCCCTGGGCTCTGGAGGGCTGTCCCGGAGGGTGCAGGCCAGTGCCCACTTGTCACTCGGGGTATCTTCCTGTAGCCCGGAAGCAAGAGATCATCAAGACCACAGAACAGCTCATCGAGGCTGTCAACAATGGAGACTTCGAGGCCTACGCGTGAGTCTCTGGGGCCTGGGGCTTGGGTGGGCATGTGGGCTGTGGAGGACAGAGGATGCCCCCTCACTTGGGTTCCCACCCCCCCAGGAAAATCTGTGACCCAGGCCTGACTTCATTTGAGCCTGAAGCTTTGGGCAACCTGGTCGAAGGAATGGACTTCCACAGATTCTACTTTGAGAACCGTGAGTGAGGAAGCTGGGGGGTAGACTGGAGGAGGTGGCTGGGTCAGGAGAGTCCCCTTTCCCCTCGGTCAGGGCTGGGGCTGGGCCAAACAGAATCGTGTCTCCCCACGTAGAGCTGAGGTATGGGGAGGGCGGAGGTGGGCGCAGGGGTCGTTGTGGAGGGCATGTGAGCAGGGAGCATGCGTGTGGGGGTTGCCCAGTGTCAAGCCCCCACCTATCTGCAGTGCTGGCGAAGAACAGCAAACCGATCCACACAACCATCCTGAACCCACACGTGCACGTCATCGGCGAGGACGCGGCCTGCATTGCCTACATCCGCCTCACGCAGTACATCGATGGGCAGGGCCGGCCCCGGACCAGCCAGTCTGAAGAGACCCGCGTGTGGCACCGCCGGGATGGCAAGTGGCAGAACGTGCATTTCCACTGCTCGGGCGCGCCTGTAGCCCCTCTGCAGTGAGGTGAGTGCCCTGGGATGGTGCAGAGTGGTGGGAGCCGCTCGGGTCCCTTCCCTAAGTTTACCACACAGAATAGAGCTTGGTAAGCCAGAGGTTTGGGGAACCCAGGCCCTCCTCATCAGAATCTTTGACATCTGAGGCGAGAGGACCCAGATGGTAGGTTCAGGGGCCAAAGCCCAGGCAGAAGTTGAGTCTGTTGCCTGAGCTTTTCCTGGTGGGCCCCTTGCTGGATATGACTTTGTTCTCTCCCTGGGGGAGTTGGGGGGGAGGGGACACTTTGCAGATGGCCAAGCCTTGGGTCCTCCAGGGCTGGGGTAGCATGCTGAGAAAGGTGACCTAACCCTTGTTTCAGAGCTGCACCTGGTTTCGCCGGACAGAGTTGGTGTTTGGAGCCTGGCTGCCCTCGGGCGCACGGCCTGCCTGTCGCATGTTTGTGTCTGCCTCGTCCCTTCCCCTGGTGCCTGTGTCCGCAGAAAAACAAGACCAGATGTGATTCGTTTTTAAAAATAAGATGACGACAACCATACACACAAAAAAAAATTGACATCGGATGAAATGGAAACAAACTAAAGAATGGAAAAAACTGTAAAAAAAAAATCTGGCATTTGTGGGGCCACCCCCCCCCCCAAGCTCCACGTTGTGTCCATTGCTCTCCTGGCCTTGGGGGAACCTCGGGGCATCAGTGTACCCACCAGGCCCCCACTTGCGTGCTGACCGGTGTTAGTCTGTAGGTTCGCACTCACCCCATACCTCAGGCGTCTGCATCCTCCTGCCAACGCATGGGCCCCGTGTGCTCGCCTGGCTGTCCTAGTGTCAGGTGTCTTGGGGAGGGATGTGGGCTGCCTCCTTTCCTGCTAGTTGTGCCTGAGTCGCTGCTGTTCCCGCTTTCTTTCCCTTCCCTCATCCCATGAGGGGCTGGGTGTGGGCTCCCCCACTGTGGACCCACCTTCCAGCATGGATTGTCTGTCCCACACCCTGGGAGTGGGCAGAAAATGGCCTCTCCTCCCTCCCCCAGAAGGCCATCAGAAAAGCCCTCAAGCACTCTGAGCTCCAGTTTGGTTCTTTGGGAGTAGGGTGTGGAGGGGCACAACTTGTCTCCAGGCCCCGTACCTGGCAAGAGCTGGCCAAGAGGACATCTGCCTACAGCTCCAACTGGCACAGCCATGGAGAAGGAACTGTCTAGAGGCTGGCCTTCTTCCTGATTGGGGTGCCTGTCCCCTGCCAGCCAGAGCAAAGCAATGTGGCCCTCACCCTGTCTGGGCAGTTCTTCCTGTGCTGCTAGGATCAGAATCTACTGAGGACTGTGGGCCTCCAGTGCCTAGTGGATGCAGGGAGCAGGCCAAGCTGCATCTGGAGTGTTTGCCTATGGAGCTTGGGGTCTGGGTCTCAGGATGTGGCTGAGTGATGTAGCAAGTGGTAAAGATGGGTCAGAGGGCAGGATGCTTCTAGGTAGAGGCAGGGGTCCATGTGGGTGTCTGCTGGTGTTGGGAGCACTTTCAAAACCTGGGCCTGGGGAGAAGCCATGGTGGGAGCCAGCCATGGAAGTACAAAGATGTTTGGGGCCACAGCGTGTGAAGCCCTTCCAAGCAGGCTAAGAACACAACCTAGGAAAAAGGAGGTCTGAGGCAGAGTTGCATGGGTGTGAGGCCTAAACATCAGCAGGAAGAAGGGAGGCTTGGCTCTGTACATTATGCTGCCTCCAGGGCACTGGCAGTGCTCCAGGCATGGGCTACTTGGGCTTGCTGTGAGTGATTTGGTCCCTCTTGATGGCACCACAGGAAGGTGGGACTGTCCTAAGTGCAGCTGGGTGGGGGAAGTGAGGCTGCAATGGAGTTGGGTGGGGGCCACCAAGAACCGTAGTTGCAGGTGTTCAGGGGCTTCCACCCTAGTGTTGCCCACTTGCAATTCATGTTTTCAACAAGGATTTTCTTTATCTCCCTTCAAGTCAAGTCAAGCCAAGGAATGGGCATAGAGTGGGAAACAGGACACAGGATCCTAAACTCCACGGGGACTGTCCACCCATGGACATTCAGAGTGGACATCACCTTTTGTCCACACTGTGCCCAGGACAGCTGTCCCTATCCATGGACACAGGGTAAACATCTGCCAGGCTCTGTACAAGTGGCTCCAGACCACTGAACATTGGCCAGACTTGCCACAGTGTGTGGCTCCATGGCTGGCTACCCTGGCGTCCTGGGACCTCCTCCTCTCCTCTCCCACTCACCTTGTTAAATCCACAGAGCTGCCTGTCTGGGATAATTCGTTTTGTTTTTGTTTTTGTTTTTTGTTTTTTCCTGGGGGATAATTCTTTTGCATGACCCTTTCTTAAGAGCAGGCCACTCCTGCTCTGCTAGCTAGGTGTTCACGGGTAGAGTGTCGGCCAGGCCAACACTGTGGTGCTGGTGGCCTTCTCTCTTCTCTCTTTTTGCTGAGTTTCATTGTCTTTTCTTTCTGAGCCTTGTAGGTGTACAAAAATTATTCTTATTTTGTTCTGTCTCGGGAAACTGCAAATAAAAGAAAAACAGGACAAACTGTTTCAGGCCCAGCTGGGTGCTTTATGCTGGACCCTTGTCAATTCCCACCCACAACACAGAGCCACACCTACCCCTGCCCCAGACCCGGCTCAACCCCAAGCCTTGATGGGGTGTGGAGGGATACAGGGGCCTGAGTGCCTCTAGGGTACCTATCAGCTCTCCCCATTCCTTCATATTGTCCTCTCCTGTCTTCTGGACCCCAGCCTGTCCACCCTGGATGCTGGAACCAAAACTGGCCTCCAGCTCCAGCCATGACCTCTCCAGTCCCCCACTAGCTATAAGCTCAGTACACAACATGGCCAGAAAAAGCCCTTTTTAGGCAGGAAGGAGTCCCAGGACCAGGATTCTTCTTTCACCGTTCCTCCTATTTGACACATGTTGGCAGTTCTGGACAGAAAGACATGTGCCCAGAACCACCAGGCCTTGTTCCCATGCGTTATTCAGATAGACACACGTGTGCTAGTACCAGTTATAAGGCAACCACTGCAGAGTGAGGAGGCTTGCTTTGCTTAGAGGCAGCCCAGATCCAAGATCTTAGATGGGGACAGAAAGGACCTAAGATATCCAGGGGCAGTTGAGGGATCAGGATCTTCATGGCCAGATACTGGGGGCCCATGGGCCAGCTCTTCCTGGATGTGAAGAAAAAGGCTCCAGACTAAGTACAGGGTAATCCTGTTTCCTTGTAATTTCTGCCAGGCCTATCTGACAGAAGCTTTGCCCAAATGTCCCTCAGCTATAAACTGTACCTCAGCGTAGGACACAAAGCCCCTGAGGGCCTTCCTCAGAACACTAGCCTCAGCTTGTACAACCTGAATTCTTAAAATCTCCCTTCAACGTGGAAGCCTTGTCCTGGGTAGCCGCTGCCTACCATTTCCATAGCCATCTGCTCAATGTGGGCTGACCTCCACTCCATTCACCCAAGGTCCTGCTACTGTTGTCTGATATTTATATTCTTCCTGGGATAGATGTTTGAACGCCAAACATGCCCACCCGTTAGATCCAATTAACTTGTAGCAATATGGGTGCCCTTGTACCTCAGTCTTGACAGCTAGGAGCAGCAAGATCCATGTATCTGCCGGAATTGGCCAAAGTTCCCAGCTGCCTCTATCTTGAGCATCTGGTTCTGGATACCTTTGCTCTGTCTGTGGGGAGGGCCTCCATCTCAGCTTTGTGGTCCCCTTGGGCTATATTGGGAGGGTGTTCTTAGGTACGTGGGCGCACAGGTGGTAGATCCCAAGAGACAATATGAAGAATCTAGGCCAGTGCCCACAAATACAGAAGTGACAGGCTCTGTATCTAGGACTCCACTCCCCTATCAGCTGTAATCAGAGGAGCTTTTCCAGGCCAGACCTCCAAGAAAGCTACATGCTACAGATCCTGAACCTCCTACATGCATTATTCCTGAGACATTTTTGCTCACAGTCCTGGTGGGCTTTGGGACAGCACCCAGGAGGATTAACCAACCCTACATGAGGCTTTTTTCCCCCTTCTTTTCAGGCATAAGGGACACAACTGAGAGGTATTTCAATCACCTTTACAGTATTTTGGGAAAGGTACTCAGGCTACCTGTCACCCCAAGAAAGCACGCACAGGTTAATCCTGAGCTCTGCCAAGGTCCAGGGCTGCCTCCAGCTACAAGAATTGCAAGTACAGGCAGCAAGCAAGGCCTGGTCAGCCCACTCGGACACAAACAGGTTGCAGAGGCCTGAGTCTCCCCATCCAACGTGTGGGATGGCTGCACTCCTCAGGGATTTCCCACATGCCCTAAGATGTTTCCACATGTGCTATGGAAAGCCAAATGGTTTCAGACCAATTAGGGGGCAGGGGACAGGGAGGGGGAAAGAAAAGCCTGAGTGGGAAAGTACCTCTCTCCCAGGGCTTGCACTGTAGTACACCCTGGATGCGAGAACCCAAAATTGGCCTCCAGCCTCAATGGTGTCACCTCTCAGTCAATACATTGGCCAACAAGAAGAGCCAGGAAGGTGTTTAGGCAGGAAGGAGCCCCAGGTTACAGACTAGAAAACAGAAATGATAGGGCTGCTTGAGGGTGCCCTCATCTGGTAAACAGCAGAGAAAACACAGAGCTCTTGCTAGACAGTTCTGAAGAAAAGGTTATGGTACTGGGCCTGAAGCTACTTCTCCTGGGTGGCATATGACCTCTTTCCACAGGGGCTGGACTTGGGAGGGAACAAAGCACAGAACCACATTGGAATTTCAAAGACAACTTTATCTAGACAGTAATCCTCTCAAAAAGAGAAATTAGGCAGCAGTTATTAAACTACTCTTGCCAAATGATTTAACATAAAAATACAACAGACAACAGGGAAATGCAAGCCATCCATCCATTACAGAACCTGAGTCAGACCCACTCACTCCTGCCTGTTGAGGAAAGGCAGGTAGATGTGGGTGAACATGGTCTCACTTCTTCCCCCAAACTCACCCCTCCATCACTCCCCAGCCTGCTCCACAGCAGCCAGCCATCCCACCATTTTCTTCAGGGTCCAGACCCACTTCACTCATCTTAGCTATCAACAATCAGGCTGAGCCTGTAGCCTTCAAGGAGGCCCTGGACTAGGGATGTATGGCAGTAGGCAAATTATGTGAGATGGCCACTCCAGAAGGCCCTAAAGCCTTTTGGTCTGCAGCGCCTATGGCAGCCTAAACTAACCAGGGGAATGAGACCTCAGTACTAACAGAGAAGACCCCATCTCCCACGAGACCTCAGTACTAACAGAAGACCCCATCTCCCACGCAATCCCTGCTCACAAGGAAGTGTTCAGGAGTATGGCAAGCTCAGGACAGGGCTCCTGAGGATCAGAGCACACCAGTTCAAAACCCACAGATGACAACATTCTAGCAGGAGTTTCTGTGGTGCCACATTGAGCACAATGGGGTATGAAGAGGCAGTTTGGGACCCCAGAACATCCCAAGTCCACCCTTTGAGCTGTTCCTGCTTGGTTCCAGGGCTAGGCCTCAGGAATGTGTCAGTGTCTCCTGCTGAGGAGAGGCACCAACTTAAGATCAGCACTCAGGCTCCACCCCCTATAGCTGCCTCCTACCCAGGAAGGGGCTTTGCAGGTCAGTGCTGACCAAACCACAGGTGGGTGCTAGTAGTTTTGGGCTGCTGCACCTACTCTTGAAGCACAAGGCAAAGACTTGTTTAATTGTGCAGGCCCTGGGCTTGCCAAGACAGTCTTGGGGACAGAGGCAAATTAAAACCAGTCTGGGGATGACAGCACCCACTACTTTTATCTTTATGGTTAAAGTCCAACGGCAAGTCCAGGAGGGTGTGTCACCATGCTGGGCAGCTGGGGGCACCTGTGTCTGAAGATGGGACACTCCCAGCTGACCTACCCAACCATCAGAGCAGCCTGTCTCCTGGACAGAATAACTACAACCCACCCATCCCACCCATCCCAGCTCCTTCCAATCACTTCCCATGTTACCAACGTGGAACTGGTGGAAGGTGCTGTAGGTCAGGCCTTGCCCATCCTAGCAGACAGGCAAGCTAAAGTTTGGACTTTGTGTGAACCACTAGCCTACCACATAGCTCTGGTCACTGTGGTGGACTGCCCGATCCCCCACAGTGACACATACAAGATTCAAACTCTGCCCACCCTAACCCTGTCACCAGTGTCCCCTCCCACCCCCCCACTGTTGTTAATATAGTTAATGCACAAATGAAATCTCAAGATGCACCAAGGATCAAGAAAGAACTGCCCCTGAACTCCCTCCCATAGCCTTGGGAGCTGGCAGAGAACAAGCCCTTCAGCATCTACAGGAGCCACTCAGAGTTTATGTTTTCATTTCCCTCAAAATACACCTTTTCAGGCTTCAAATTCTTCCCAAAAGTCACAACCAGACATATGAACTTGAGCATGCCCCACCCTTCTACCACCTATCAGTTCCTCTTGGGACTTTAAAATAAAAATGGCCAGTCTGTCCTGCTCCAGGTCTTTCAGAGCATTTCTTCTTCTCCGGGGGCTGCAGTTCTGATGAGAGTGACAGTGACGATCAGTGCAGGCCATTCTGGGCTGCATCACATGATTGCACAGCATGAGTTTTGTTTCCGGGCCTTGAAGGAAACAAAGAGTAGTTGAAGGGGGTTGGAGGGTGGTGGGTGTGTCTCAGCTTGGGCAGGTGTGGGAGGCAGAGGTCCACCAGAGGCAGCTGGACAGAGAAACTAGTACCAGGAGAAAGGGAAGGAAAAGAGACGGGGACCAGCCTCTCAAGAGTCTGAAGGAGGTTGCCTACCAGTAGATCCCATCACAGAACTTCTATTGCCAGTCTGGCATCCTTATTCCCACTTGATTAATGCTATCAAAGAGTGGATAAGTCCTGCTGTAACAAGCAAAGAACCAATAATGCAATCTGGACTGACTGAACATCTGAGCAATGTTCTGCTGTGATCCTTCCTGGGGGAAGAAGTGTTATTTCCTGGATGAAGTTCTTCCAGTGAAACACAAACTCTCCGCTCACATCTTTTGTGGGAACAAAATAGCTGTTACATCTTTACTCTTGCTTCTGGTCTCAGGATGTCCTCCTAACACCACCTGGCCATTCCCAACACTGTGCAACACAAAGTAAATGTACATACATAGACAGGCCAAAAGCCGCCATCCACACTGGGATATATAAGCACTGCCTGGAGAGAAACAGGCAGTCAGCTGGAACCACCCTGCCAATGCAACAGAGTTCAGCTAAAGGGAATGCACTAGAGGATTCCGGACCTCTTCAAAGGGGTGAGCATCTTAAAGACTTATGCCTAATTTTTCAGCCAGCAGAGATAAAGGGCAAACCCTGGTGATCAGAACTGGAACCAACAGGGGGTGGTGGGGGGGGGGGGGTGGTTATTGACTCCAAAATCAGCCAGGTATAGTCACAGAGCAGAGCAAAGAGAGACTAAGTGAACCTGCCACTAACTGCAAGGACTGGGGAGTGGAATCCAAATCCACTCTGGCAAAGTAAACTGAAGATGATTCGTTCCCAGTGAAGGGTGCCAATAGAAACAAGCTGTGAGGGTCAGTGGCAACTACTCACCGTTTTATAGAAGGCTTTAGACTGCGTTCCCAGTACTTCTGATTTGGACACCAAGTCATCGAGCTTCTCTCCTCGCTCTAACAAAGACTCCATGGTGTTGTGCTGGACAACAAAGAGAAAAGAACTCTTTGTGCTATTCAGTAACTGACTTCACAAGAGCCCCTTGTGGAAGAGTTCAGTGCCCACTCTCCCAAGTTCCACTCCAACAGATGCCACCAACCATGGGAACTGGGTCCCAGAACAGTGAATGTTCTAGTCAAGGAATGTTCTAGTCCCGTGGCGTTTGGAAGCACACACATACCCACATGCATGCATGCATACACATAGACCCCAACAGACTTGGGTAAGCTAAGAAAGCTCATGCATGTTTATACTTGTGTAAGTGCATACACTTACACAGGGAGGGGTCTCTATGAAAAAAAGCCATACTGGGCACTAGATGGCTGCAATGGGATGGACTATGGAACCTCTAAGAGTCACGTTAATTGGAAAGAGGATCTTTGCAGATATCACTAGCTAACATGGATTAGGGTGGGCCCTAATGCAATGATTGGTATCCTTCCGAGAGGAAACAGACACACTGATGTGCACAGAGGAGAAAACTATGTGAGAACCTGGAGTAATTCACCCCCAAACCAAGGAACAGTAAGGATTGCTAGAGCCACCGGGAGTGGAGAGGCCAGACCACTTTCTCTCCCTCACAGCTTTGGGAGAGAACAAGTCCTTCCCATACCTTGATCTCCAACATTTGGCCTCCAAATTGTGAGCATATACTTCTGTTGTTCTGAGTTACCCAGTCTGTGGTTAACTACCACAATGGGAAAGCTATGCTGGCTGGTCCAGGAAACACAGAGAGGACTTGAGATGAGACAAGTCCAAACTGAGCTGTGCTCTAAGTGTGAACATACTGCACTGCCAAGCAAACACCTTGTTAGTGATTGCATGTTGAAAAGACAGTATTTGGATATCCTCAGTTAAATGAAATTATTACATTTCATCTATTTTCCTTTTGTCATTCTAAAATAAGACTCCCACAAAATCAGAATTACACATGGTGTGTTTTCTACAAAGTATTCTATTTCTGATTCATATATACAGTGTTTTCTGTTCCTGACAGTACCTTGACAGAACAAGCTCTACTTTCCTAAAGGGGCTACAAGCTCTAAATTTAAGAAACGGTAACACTAGCCCATGTTTGAAGGAATATAGCGATGGAAGGCCTCAGAAGAGCCAGTGGTCTTGTTATCAGGGCCACTAAGGAAGCAGCAGCTCACTTTTCTTTCAGGCAGCCATCGCTAGATGTTGTCTACAAATGGGGAATGGAACCAGGCATGGAATTAGCAATAAGGTTCTTTATCCTTATACATGGGCAATTTGATTTATGACAAAATGTTAGCTGGAGAACAAGAAATATAGTAAATGACAGAAAGCTTGCCCAACATGGTCTAGGCACCAGGTTTGAGCCTTAGTAACAAAAGTAACAAAAAAGTTGGCTAGATTCAAGTTAAACATTAATAACCCAGATTTTACAACTGTAGTTGGCACAAGGCTGGGTGAACATAGCTCATCTTCACTGGAGAGGGTAGGCATCCCCAAGTTCTGTGGTTTGCACAGACTCAAACTCAAGTAGCACAAGGAAGAGATACAGGACTTGGGTTGAAAATATTGAGAAATATCATCTCAGTAATCAGAAAATCCAACAGGTCCAAGACAGAGATGCTTCAAATTTTTCACACCATTTATTCCAAATCTGCATTATTTAGAATATGGTCAAAGATCTACATCTGAAGTCTCCTGGGCTGCCATTTATTTGAGGCTTTCTATGTAGCCCAGCCAGCTTCAAACTTATGATCTTCCTGCCTTAGCCTCCTGAATGCTAGGCCTGGGCTGATTTTATAAAATGCAGGTCCTCAAGCTCCTCCTGACTAATAAGCCCCAGCCCAGGAGATGCTGATGCTTGTTAAAACTCTGCCAGTGTTGACAGCAAAATTTTCTAGCAATACTAGGTTTTCTTCTAGGCTTCATATCCAATCATTTATTCATCATCTGCTGAATACCAACATAAGCTAAAAGTTGTAAAGAATGCAGGAATGGAAGGATGGCCTCTGGTGCTTATATGCTGGTCAGAGAGATGAGTATACAAGCTGTGCCAACACAGTGCCATTCAGGAAGACTTGAGCAGAGACTGCTTGCCTAGAAGCAGAGCAGAAAATGGATGTAAAAGAAGACAAAGCCAACATGTGTCTCTTAATCTTGCAGCAGATTTGAGAGCTAGGGAAGGATTTTATATAGAAGTGACAGATCTATGGCTACTGACTTATGGAATTCAGGAAGTGAGGGAACCAGTTTAAGGTAAAGAAAATAGAAAGCTGCTCACATTCCACAGGTGTACAGAAGAATGAATTGTTAAGGGTGATTCTGATACAAATGCAGATTCAATCTCATCTAAAACAGGCCCTTGTTGTAGAACACGGGTGCCATTGGAGAGTATAGTGTGCTTCCTTTGGCCAGAATGCTACAAAGGGAGGAGGTACAATGGCCACACTGGCTCCCAGTTTGGGCCCCTCTAAACAATTGGTGCTGTGAACCAGGATACATACAGGAAGGAGAAGGGACAGTCTGACAAAGGTAGAGAAGTGACATGGATGCCATGAAAACAAGGACTGACTCAGCACACACGGGGCAGTGCATAGCCTTCTGCTCCTCATTTTTGGTTTAGCTCTCCATCTTCCTACTTACCAAAATGATTTTGGTCTCATCTAGTTCAGCTTGCACTTTAGTCATGGGGTCAGCTTCTCGAGGGTTCTAGGAAAAAGAACCAAAATAAGAACAAAGTTAGGACTGCACTGGCTACCTAGAGACAAACTCAAACAAGGAAGCTTAATTTTCACAGCAAAAAGACAGCTTGTTTAACACAGAGAAGAGAAACAAAGAGCCCACCTATAGATTGGATTCCCAAGCTATAGTCACATCTGAATGTGACTGTCTGTGTTCTTCAAACAGAAGACTCAAGAGAAAATACTGGCAACAGAAGTTATCAGACCTGAGTGATCACCATGGATGGCCCTTTCAGGATCATGAGGATTTGGGGCCACATGGTTTCTCTAAACCTACCTGGTATCTACTAAGGTGAGCATCCAGGGCTGTGTACTGGATTGTGGCAGGAGATCCTACTGGCCAGTCTATCCTGTCGACCTGCTTGGAGAATTCATCTAATACCTGCAAGACAAAGTATCCTCAGGAAGTCTCCCACCCTGTTCTACAGCCTCTTTAGCAGCCAAAATGAGGCACCAGAGCCCAGGAAGGACATTTAACTGCAAGGGATCCATCGAAGTTAAAGTTCCTCTTTCCAAGTATTTATCATTAAAACATAACCTAAATAGTTGAGGTATCAAAAGTGAAATACAGCTGAATATGGTGGCTCATGCCTATAATAATCCTAGTAACCTGGATGGCTGAAACTAAGAGGATCAAAGTTTTAGGCAAAAAAAAAAAAAAAAATTGCAAGAGTCTATTTCCATGGGAGAAGCTGGGTATGGGTGAGATGTGTCTGTCATCCTAGCTACTACAGTAAATGCAAAATAGGAGGACCAAAGTTCAGACATGGTCCTAGGCACAAAGCAAGATCTTATCTCAGAAATAACCAGTGTAGGAAAGACCAAACACATAGTCCAAGGCCCTGAGTTCAAATCCAGTCCTGAAAAAAAAAAGGTAAAGAACCTCATCTGGAGAATAAAGTTATTTGCATTGAAAATGACAGAATTACAGAAGACACGGCACTGGCCCTCTTATTTTTCTAAGATATTCTTCAAAAGTGAATGAGGTTCTCTGAAGTTAAGCAATCATCATGTTTCATGTGCTTGGGCATGTTTTAGTGCTATGAGGGAACAGCATGAAGCACCCATCTTCAAGTGTATAATTAACACCATACAAAGAAATAAAATGCCCAGGTGCTGAGCTCCATGGAGCAACTGACCTACATCAAGGGAGGGCACCACTGTAATTGTAGGAGAAACATGGAGTGGATGCAGGATGATCCACAGAAGTCTGGGGAGGAGGACAACAGCTGTGAGGATACAAGGCACAGCTGGCCTGTTCCACAAGACAGGACCTGGACATGCGTCATGTGAGGGAACCTGTCAGGGATGTCAAACTGTATTCTGATTTGGAGCAAGGGGCAATGCCTGAAAACATGAAGCTTTTTGGCCAATCATCCCTTGTGCCTAAGGCACTATCCACATTATGGTCCAGACTCATCACCCTATTCCTGCTTAGGTAAACCACACTTACCTTCTCCAGTAATGTAAAGGCCACTCTAGAGGGGTATTCACTGTCAGCAATGACCACACCTGCAAGACTGTCATTTCGAACGTAGACATGGCATAGATACTCTAGGGAGACAAGAGATTATACATGTGGACAATGAAATGAGGGCTTCACACTATTTTTAATCCCCCAAATCAAAGCACTACAATACTGACTCCTGCTGAGTCAAATGAAGCTATCTGAAGCTACTCTGGCATTCAACTGCTTGGGTGAAATCTGTGGAGAGTGGCCCACACTCTCTTAAGATCTGTAAGTGCCCAGAGGCTTCATGTACAAAGCCAAAATGAGCTACAAGGAGTAAGAAAACAAATCCCAGGAAATATATCCCTAGGAACATTTCCTGGTCATTTCCTCAAGCTTAGGTCAGGTCAGGACTATTTGTGTCTTGGCGATTCACAGATCACTAAAGCTCTTGTGCTGCTCCCAACTGAGGGAATGCCACACAAAACAAGCAGCCTTTATTTTCTTAAGAAACCTTTTCAGAGTGGCCCAAAGCAGGAAATTACCTCTCAAGGCCTCACTCTCCCTTATTATGGTAACACAGTTGGACCTGCTCTAGTCTGTGGTATGTGTTGGGGGGAAAACTGGGTCTAGAATAATATTTGTCACTGCTGCTGAGATTCCAGCGTGAATGCACTGGTACTGATTCTGCAAAAGTCACAATCCACAGGATTGCTCATTTCTATCACTTTGAAAGAATTGAGAAATGACACAGTTCACCATACCCCAAGAAGCAGAGAAACATTAATAATCACAACTTATGAATAAGAACCTTCTTGTCCTTAAGGATCTGACCCAGAAAATTCCAATGCTAAACAATAGGAAAACAAAAGCTGACAAGATTATAAGCTGTTGCTATCAGAAAAGGACAGAGATCAGTAAGAACAATTTGCCAGAATGAAGCCACATGATGAATTAGCACCTGATTTTATATATGTTCCCAAACACAGGTCTAAGTGCACATATTCCACAGAAACTGAGAAGCTGGTCAGTGTTTCAGCAATTGTTTTTAAGTAATAAAGTTAGGAAGAGAAGACAGTCTGAGAAAGAACACTGAAATGTCTATAACTAGATTTTACTTCTGTGATATTCTCAGAACAGGAATCCCACGGGAAGAATATGTATTCAATACTGCTCATGGCATAACTGATATTTCTATCATCACTTCAGTAACTCCATATCAAATAACATGAAGTTAGTGCATGCATGGGTAAGGTGGCTTTTGTTTCTGCCTGAAAACTTACATGAACTCTGAATTATGAGAGATAAAAGAATGACTTTCCAGATTCTTAGTCAAAACAACAACAAATACCTAAGGAGCACAGAATACAGTATGACCTCAAGATTACTAGCTAGCCAGGCAGTTCAGAACTTTTAAATCATAGCTATTTGGGAGGCAGAGACAGGGAAATTAGTCTAAAAAAGACTCCTGGCCAAAAAAAAAAAAAAAGAGACTCCATCTTAACCAATGGCTGGGTGAGGTAGCCACCCAGGAAAACACAATGGCTGGATACAGTGATGCAAGGGAGCACAAGTAGAAGAACTGAAGCCCAAGCCAGCTAGGCCATAAAGTCAGACCCTACATTGAAAATAACCATCGGAAGCATTACTCAAGTGGTAGATGGCCTGTCTAGCAGATGCAAGGTTGTGAGTCAATCTCCAGTAACCCTCCCCAGGAAAAAAATTACTAGCAGGAAAGTTTTTTAATGTAAAATTTTAATTATTTAGGTGATATACAGAGAGGTCACTGTTTTATAAGTCAGGTAATGAATTCATTTTTTTTTTTTTTTGGTCAGTCATGGGGCTTGAACTCTGGGCCTGGGCACTGTCCCTCAGCTCTTCAGTTCAAGGCAATCACTCTACCACTTGAGCCACAACGCCACTTCTGGTTTTCTGGTGGTTAATTGGAGAGTCTCATGGACATGATCCCTGCACAAGGATGACACGCAAATTTGTGAAGCGTTCCATATTTTTGTACCTTCAGGGATAACAAGAACTGTAATAAATGAATTTGAGGGGAGGGGGGAAAGAGTCTCACGGACTTTCCCATCCACACTGGTTTTGAACCATGCACAGTCCTCAGATCTCAGCCTTCTGAGTAGCTAGGATTATAGGCATGAGCCACCGGTGCCTGGCTATGAATTCTTTTGGGGCAATGTCACCCCTTCCTTTGCTCTCTCTCAATTTCCTCCTCCCACCCTGAGAAAATGCTTTTTGAGAGGCATGCAGATCTAGAGGGTTAAAGGGTTTACTGCTCCAAGAGAATCAGACCCTTACTTCTCAGCCTCTTAGTTAAGATTCAGTAGAGAATTAGACCCTAACCTTAAGTGAGCTTAAGCTTTAGAGGTAGCTTTATCCAGCAAGTTTAAAGTTCAACATGGAGAAAAGGAGGCAAGAGAAAACATATTATCAGAAGTAGAGCTCAGCAGCTCTCTCTGTGGCACTTAGAGAGCTGTGTGTTGCCTGAGGAGTGGCAGCTAAGCTAGCACCCACTTAGAAAGTATTGAGTCCTCTTACCTTGTTCTTTGACAGAAGCTCTGCTGCCTTTTGCTGAGCGCTCCACAATCAGTTGACTTGTGAAGGTCATGAATTCCTGCACACTAAGAAGCACACATTTACTTATTACTTTCTTCCTATCACTTTGTCCCCAATATGATATGTTAACCTCTGAACTTCTAAGTCAAACATACATTGCCACTTACATTCCCTTTCCTTCAACCATAGTAACAAACAACAAATACTCTGTAAATAGATGCAAATACAAAAGCAAAACTCACCATTTAAGTCTCATCTGTTTGCCACCTAATTTATCAAAACAACCCACTTCTGGGGAATTTTCTTCAGGCCATAGTTAATTGCTAGGAAGATACAAAACCAACTCCTGCTGTAGCCACTGGATTGCCCTGGCAATGCCACTCACCTTCCCAATAAGTGCTACCTCAGGACTGCTGGAGCCCTAGGCATTCTCGAAGAAATGAAGGAAATGGCTAAACCAAGATAAGGGAAGTGGGAAAGAGTTCAGACCAAGACTGAGAGGGAAAAGGTTTTTCATAGGCCCAAAATGGAGATCTAGCTAAAGGGATCTGTCACAGAAGATGGTTAAGCCAGAAGACTAGGTACTATGAAGGGGTCTCTGAGGGCACGGCCAAAGCCAACAGAACAAGTGGGAATCCAAGCAGGATGCTTGCAGAGCCATACAGTCTGAAGACCTGACCCCTGGGGATCACAGTTCTTACTGGATGTCAAGCAAATTACTGTGCACTGCCTTATTAGTAAAATCAGAATTGGTGTGATAGTTAAATTAGTTAATACATGGGAGTCTAGCTAGTTAATACATGGCAGTGTAGATCCATGGTAGCTTGCTTACCTACTAAGCTTTAGACCTTGGATTCATTAACAGTACTTCCCTGCCTCCATGAAAACAAAAACAAGGAAGCCTTTGCTATTAAACTAAAAAAGTGATGGTGCTTAAGAGTAAGACCAAAGACAATGGAACAATTATATTAATCTGAGAGCCTATCTTATAGGGCTTAAAAAAAAAAAAGCTAGGAAATTACTTACAAGTTTTAAGCTTGAGGTCTTGTGTTAGGAAAATGGAAGAAAAAAGAAAAGGAAAAAAGCCAGACTCCATTCTCAACAAGCTAGGACTGTTTATTGAGGAACTCAGAGGAACCCAGCCTTCCCTTGGGCTTGAAGGCTGAGCTAAGGTGGGGTAGAGGATTTGAGTCAGGGGGTTTATGGAGTCTCAGTGAGGAGACAGGAGTTACTTGAGTTTAGTATAAAGTAGGTATCTGCAGAGAATAGGGTAAGTATTCCCTTATTCAAGGTCTCAAGCTTTATTAAATGTTCAAACAGCTCTACATCTGTCTTGCCTAGAAGGTTCCACCTACACAGGGTCTAGTTCTTTCAACCTCTTCCAACCTTTTTTAACCCTTTCCTGGCCTCAGAGCCTTACAGGCTAAGCCCACAATGGAATGTTTACACCCAGGCTCAGGTTAGATTGTGCGGCCTGTGTCAAGCACATCCATACATACCTAGGTAATAGGGTGGGGGGTCAATCCTTCATATTCCATCTTTAAATACACAAAAAGATTGGGCAAGAGAGGGGAGAGGCCAGTCCTTCAGTCTGGTAATCATGGACCATGAAAGATGGAAGCAATTAGGACTCATGAGAAAATGGGCTCAGCCAGAACAAGTACTATTTTAAGAGATATTAGCAAAGAGGTCCCTTCAGTGTTGTCCTCATCAAGTCATCTAAGACTAGTGTGGATATACCAAAGAAGCAAGGTACAAATCCTACAATGAAATCTCTGAGAATCTTCAATCTAAACAGAAAGGAAAAAGAAAAAAGAATAAGAGCCAAGTTGGGACCAAAAGTCCCATCAGAGAAAAGCAACAAGGGAGCAGAGAACACAGTAAACGTCATTATCAAGAACTTCAAAAGATGATGCAATAATTCTTCTGCTGGATAAACACATCAGAAAACTTAAGCAGGTCATATCTATTTAGCCATAGTCTAGCAGCATTTTCCATAAAAGGCAAAATGTGGAAGCAACTCAAGTATCCAAAGGCAGATGAATGGTAAGCAAAATGCATATATAAGACTATACATTATTCAGCTTTAAAAAGGAAATTCTCAAAAAAAAAAAAAGAAATTCTAACACAGGAAACATGGATGAACTTATGCTAAGTGAAAGAAGCCAAACACAAAAAGACAAATATGTGATTCCATTTATATAAGATCCTTTGAATAGCTAAAAATTGAAAACAAAGAATGCTGATTGCTAAAGACTAGGGAAATTAAGGAACAGGAAGTTGGAATTTAATGGATACATTTCAGTTTTACATGAAGATGTAAATACTACATGAAGATGGGAAATACTAACAAATACACATTATGGATGCAATTACTAGTGAGCATTATACTTCAAAATGGGTAAGATGACAAATATTTTATGTTTACTTAATTTAAAAAAAAAACAGCTTCAACACTTTTTGTTTTTTGTTTAAGGTGGGTGCTAGAGGCTTACGCCTATAATACTAGATACTCAGGAGGCTGATATGAGGATGGCAACTAAAAGCCAGCCCATGGAAGAAAGCCTGTGAGACTCATTTTATCTTTTTTTTTTTGGTCGGTCATGGGGCTTGAACTCTGGGCCTAAAAGATGTCCCTCAGCTCTTCAGCTCAAGGCTAGCACTCTATCACTTGAGCCACAGCACCATTTCTGGCTTTCTGAGTGGTTTATTGGAGAGTTGTATGGACTTTTTTCAGCCTTGGCTGGCCTTGAACTGCAATCCTCAGATCTCAGCCTCCTGAGTAGCTAGGATTACAGGTGTTTGGCACTGGGCTTGTGAGAATCTTATCTCCAATTAATCACCGGAAAACTGGAAGTGATGCTGTGGCCCAAAGTGGTAGAGGGTTAGCCTAGAGCCAACAACAAGCTCAGAAACAGCATCCAGGCCCACAGTAAAAGTCCTATGACTGACTAAAACAAAACAAAAACAGTTTTAGACACAGCCAGCAAGGCCTCATAAAGCACTCTCATCATGTACAAAACAAGCTGGAGGTGTGGCTAAGTTGTAGGGACCAGCCTAGCAAGTCATGAGGCCCTGAGTTCAAACCCCAGTCCCATCAAAAGAATGTTGCACTAAAGTAACAAAAACAGAATCCAAGTGTCATATTGACACTTGATTTCAAGGCAACTGACAACGGTCTTGCCCTTTTGTGCAAGACTCACTCTACCCCCTACCATGAATGGGCTGGATCCAGGAGTGGTGCTTCTAACACTTATCTTCCCGCAGTTTTCAAGCAATTACTGGCTTTGTAAACGCTACAGACCCTACGCCTCCTTCCCAATCTTTTACTGGATAGGCAGCCTTTTTCTATACAAAGCCTGCAATCTAGGTTTGAGCCTACAATATGGAGTTTCAGTGACTTCACCTCTCTCATACAGAGTCGTTGGGGAAATCTCATGAAGCAAAGCTGGCTCTCACGACACAGTACAAGCGCTCTCTGGTCTGAATCCCTGGGTGCGAGATGCTGGTTTAATATATCCATTTCTGTGACTCGACCTACCAGTTTAGAACATTGGGGCGTGAACCTCGGGAATCTGCATTATTTCAAAATCCCCTTCTAATCTTCCTAGAAGGGGAGTTAGAAAAACACGGGACGAAAGCCATACGCACAGGAATGGCTGGGCTGGTGCCTCCGATGTACTGCTCCCTCACAGAGGAGGAAGCCTCCGCCAGCTTCCACAGTGGGAAGATCTCCAGAGACCCCAGAGCCTGTCCTGTCCTGCGGGCCGCCGACCCCAGCCAGCCGCGCGCGGCCACGCCCCCGCTCGCCCCTCCCCCGCCCGTCCAGACCGACGCCCCTCCCCCGCCCACCCCTCGGCCAGCCCCGCCCTGGCCTCGCCGGACCCTGCCCCGGCTTCGCCGACCCCCCTCCCTGGCCTCGCCGGCCCCCGGCCCGTCCCACCGACCCTCTCCCACTCCGGACCCTCGCCGGCCCGGCCGCTCCGCCCCGGCCTGGCCGACCCCCACGCCCCAGGCCCTCGCCGGCCCCCGGCCCGCCACGCCCCCGCCCGCTCACCTAGACCTCTGGAAGAAGCTGAAGGAAGACACGTCGTAGGCGGCTTTGAGCAGAACCACCTTGGGCTCGCCTTTATAGAAGACGCTGAGGCTGTACAGCTTCATGGCGCCACGCCCTCGAGCCGCTGGTCCGGTCAGCCGCGAGGCCGGCTCGCAGAGAGCCGGGGGCCGCGCCACTCAGAACCGTCGCTACCGTCCCCCGAAGCCACCAGACCACCCGGCCGCCGGGACTGGGCCGGGCCCGCTCCTCCCTCCTGCCTCGAGGTCCACTTCCGGTTCCGATCAGGTGTTGCCACTCCCGCCCGGCGCAGGGCTGGGGAGATTGTACGCGTGTCACGCCCGGATGTAGGGAGACCGGAAGTACGTTGCAGTGAGGGGCGGGACCCCTACTTGCGAGCCCCGCCCGGTTCCCAGCGCCTGGGGGAACCCGGCCACGCTCCGCTGCGTTTCTGCTGTTCTGTTGTTCGCCGGTTCCCCCACTCTTTCTTGAACCCTGTGCTTTTCCCTTGCCGTTCCTTGAAAACAGCCAATGCAACCTCTTGGTCAGTGGCGCCTAGACCTGTTAGGCCCCTAACTCAGGGTTTATGCCATCCCATCAGCACCGTTCTCTGCAACCTACTTGGCTGGGTATTTCCAATTGCAGAGGTTCACAGGACTGTTCCACGGGTCCTCCCGGTTTACAGCAGGAACTGCTGCTGGCAGTGGCAAGCTCCAGCCACCCAACATGTGGACACACAGTCTTACAAGCCAAGATTGTAATATGGCCCCATCTGCCTTGAGCTGACACAGTGGCCCTACAGGGAGCGGGGCTAGAGACATTTCTAAGAAAACGCCTTAGAACCCTTCGTTGTTCAGAGGACAATGCTTGGGTAGAATAGATTTAAACATATCTACTTGACTGGTAATAACTGTTTTGAGGTTTCCTGCACTTTTCCATGTGCTATCTTCACAAAAGCAGGAAAATCTTGTTACTAGTTTACATGCATAGAAATAGATTCATTTTAAGAAAATGTTAGTAAGAGAGTAAGATTTGGGTTTCAAATGTGAACTCTAGGGCTGGGAATGTGGCTTATTGGTAGAGTGCTTGCCTAGCATGCATGAAGCCCTGGGTTCGATTTTTCAGTACCACACAAACAGAAGTGATTGTGTGGCTCAAATGATGGGTACTAGACTTGACCAAAAGAGGCGCAGGGACAGTGCCGAGGGGCTGAATTCAAGCCCCAGGACTGGCAAATAAATAAATAAAATGTAAACGCTAAAATGCTTAACGAACTCATTTGCAGCCTGGCTCCTCTCCTGGCAGCTCTTCCCACTTCTCACCCCTCTTGTTCAACATCTGTGGTCCTTAGGAAGCATCACTGTGTCATGAGATTGCAGATTTCTCAAGTTCATTCATCTTATTGTAAAGCAAGACTTGTCTTCCATTCTATTGTCCAAGCTATCACCCAACTTGAATTGGGTACTGCAACACCACAAACAAAAGTGAGCAAGTCAGGTGTCAGTGGCTCATGCCTATAATCCTAGCTACTCCGGAGGCTAGGATCTGAGAATCACAATTCAAAGCCAGCCCAGGCAGATAGATCTTCAGATAAACCTTCAAAATTCTTTTTTTTTTTTTTTCTGGCAGTCATGGGGCTTGATCTCTGGGCCTCAGTGCTGTCTCTCAGCTCTTCAGTTCAAGGCAAGCACTCTGCCACTTGAGCCATAGCACTACTTCCGGTTTTTCTGGTGGTTAATTGGAGATAAGAGTCTCACAGACTTTCCTGCCCCAGCTGGCTTTGAACTGCAATCCTCAGATCTCAGCCTTCTGAGTAGCTAGGATTACAATTGTGAGCCACCAGCGCCAGACTTCAAGATTCTTATTTCCAGTGAACCAGCAAAAAGCTAGAACTGGAGGCATGGTTCAAGTAGTAGAATGCAGGCAGTAAATGGAAAAAGCTGAGACAGAGTGCCAGGCCCTGAGTTTGAGTTCTCAAGCTCCAGTATAAGCACACACAAAAAAAGAGAAAAGTAATAGCAACTAGCTGTTAGTCATGAGTGAAGGACAACGTACTGAGGTGATGAATGCAGCATACATAGTTGTGGGGTGGCACAGTTCTTGAGTCCATGATCCTCCTTGAGTTGGTGGGCCCTAGGTGTATGGGGAGTCCTTCTGCAGACAGGACTGGAGTAATAGTGTCCATGACCACAGGTTCTGGGCAATGCTGAGACATACAGCTTTGTCCAGCTTACAGGACATGACTGCTCCAGGTGCACAACAGAACCTCCAGGGCACTGGATAAAAGTTGTTCAAGGAGCAAACTCCCAGGAAGCCTAGTTCAAGTGGGAAGTCCCCATGCCTGGGACCCTGTTCTCTCAGCCCTTTGACAGTCAGCCAAGACCAGGTAGCTGAACCTTTTCACTCCAAATGTAATAGCCTCTGCAGCTCATATGATAAGGGAGCGTTCAAAGAGGCAAACCATGTAGTACTGGGAAATGAAACCCAGGCATGCTAATAAGGGAAAAACAAGTAGTCTACTACAGAGCTACCCCCCCCCTTCCTAGTGCACAAATTTGATGCCATCACCCTGAGTCCTCAGCACACCCAATCCCCAGAAATACTGCTCATTCCCCTGCTCCCTCACTGAGGTGTCCCAGCTCTTGCTGGGCTCTTTGGGTCACAGGGAAGGCAGACATGGCTGGCCTGTCAAACATTTGAGGTCTATTGCCAGCTATGTCAGAGAAAAGGAGGATCAGAGGAAGACAGAAGCAGGTGAACCAGGTAAAGGCTTTGGGAATTAGTATGGCAGAAGATATGGTTGTCCCAAAGACATCCTCTCCAGCTGGAAAGGTAGCTGAGCTGGACAAAGGTCAGGAACTTAGAATTGCGATACATGATAATTTAGGCAGCTGGCTTGTCCTGTCAATACTTGATGACTGTGAGGTTTCCCTAACAGAAAATGGAAGAAAGTCTGCAGAGAAGATAAAAAGGGAGCAGGCAGGACAGCCTGTGTACGGTGTCCTTGTGTACCTCTCACATCCTCAAGTGAGTCCAAGCACTACCTGAGAACAGAAAGAAAGATGAAGGAAGGGCAAGTAAATGAGCTGTGCCCTCAGAATGGTGGGTACACCAAACACACCTAACAAACAATGGTAATAGTCAAGGAGAAAAATAATTCTACAAGGAAACTACACCTCAGGGCATAGATGCCACTGGGCCAAGCTGCTCTGCCACCATGTGATGGCTTAGACCAGAGCCAACTGAAGGACATTCCCACTGCTATGATTGGCCACTGATCCAGGCCTCAGCCAATCAATACTTTGTCCTGTAGGGTCCTGTCTCACACCGTATGCAAATCTTCCCATCCGCAAGTCTGTGAGAGCAGACCAGTGAATCTTGAAGAATGGTGAGGACTTGAGGTACACCCTCAGAATGGCTAGGGGATGGGCACACCAAACATAAACAGTCCCAGAAAGACTTAAAGGTTGAGCATTATATTTTAAATTTCTTTGTTGTTGTTGTTCTCAAGAGCACAAACTTTTTTATAAGCTTAAATTTTGGAGGGGTACAGCATCACATAGATTCTGTGTCCAATAGCCTTAGCAGTAAGGCTGCTTTAGAATTTGGCACAACCATGCCACTATTTCCATGAGTTACCTTTCCCCAGATTACTTTGGTTTTGTTCAGTTTGCCACCAGGAATCACTGTATTGTTTTTTGCTCAGTGTACATAAGCACTTATCTTGCCCAAGTAGAAACTGGTATCACCTAAGACATAACCACCTTCAGTTTTTTGTTTTGTTTTGTTTTTTTCATGGGGCTGAACTTTGGGCCTGGGCGCTGTCCCTCAGCTCTTCAGCTCAAGGCTAGTGCTCTACCACTTGAGCCACCGCGCCACTTCTGGGTTTTTCTGCTTATGTGGTGCTGAGGAATCGAACCCAGGGCCTCATGCATGTAAGGCAAGCACTCTACCACTGAGCCAACTTCCCAGCCCAACATCTTCAGTTTTAAGTAGTGCTGTGTGCTCCCTTTGGTTCCAGGGACCCCACTGATAGCCTTGCACCACAGCCTTCCAGAAATTTTGTCTTTTAGAACTCCGTTCCCAGCACTCCTCCACAGGCTCCAAGATGGCAGAGTGAAGAATTATATTAAATTTCTTTTAATTTTTAAAAGGAAATGTGAAAAACATTTTAACAATGTTTACATTTTGGGGTTGGAAAATGCTTTCCTTAACAAAACATAAAGCCCCAAAATAATTATACATAGACTTAAACTAGGCGTCCGTGTCTCATACCTATAATTTTAGCTACTCAGGAGGCTGATATCTGAAGTTCAGGGTTCAAAGCTTGCCCAAGATAACAAATCTGAAAGACTCTTATCTCCAGTTAGCCAGCAAAAAGCTAGAACTGAAGCTGTGGCTAAAGTAGTAGAGCACCAGCTTTGAGTAAAAAAGCCAAGCAAGCAGCCAGATGCTTATGGCCCACACCTATAATCCTCAGCTCAAGAGGCTGAGATCTGAGGATTGTGGTTCCAACCTAGCCTGCACAGGAAAGTCCTTGAGACTTATCTCCAATTAGCCACTAAAAAGCTGGAAATGGAGCTGTGGCTCAAAAGGTTAGACTGCTAGCCTTGAGAAAAAGAAAGAAAGAGAAGGGAGGGAGAAAGAGAGGGTGAGGGAGAGAGAGAGAAAAAGAGAAGGAGGAATGAAGTGAGGGAGGGAGAAAGGAAATTGGTAAAGCCATTTGTGAAGGCAATGTAGTCCTATCTGCCAAAATGTCAAATGTCTACAACATTTGAACTAGCAATTCAGCATCTAGGAACCATTGAGAAAATGAACATGTTTGTTCACAGGTGGATGTTGTTATAAAAATACACTCCAAGCAACCCCAGAGTCACGACTGAAGACAAAAACAGTCTCAGTAAGGCAAAACTTACTTTGGTGCAGAAGAGTGCACCATTAACCAAAATCCTAGCAAGCTAGCACACAGAGCAGCTGGGCTTCTCCCTTACTTGTCTCTAATGCCCCCATCCTTTGCTCACATTGGCTGAGCTCAGGTTCACAATCTGCTGGAGACTGGCTTCTTTAAAAGAGGGCAAAAACTTTTTTCCCCAGAACATGACTTAATTGACAGAAATAGGATGTAACTAAAACTTAATGAGCTTGTAAGAGGATGTCTTGACAGGAACAGGAAGTAACTAAAACTTAATGCCCTTATAACAGGATGTCTCACAAGGAATCCCTTTGACCCACTTTGGTAGAAAAGACAGCTTTTTTTCACAACATATTT